CCCCCATATCGATAGTGATCAGCGTTGTACGATGGTCGCTGTACCGCTACAGTGGGTGCCTGGGCGGTGCTGCCCTTAATTAGGGGGTAGCGGTCGCTAAGCGTCTATGTCAGGCGTCCGATGTCGCGTCGATGTCGCTACCGTGGTTGGCAAAATGTGACTCTGGCCTAGGGACACTGCTTGTACCCAACCGAGGCTTTCTTGCGGGTTGGGGAAAACAATAGCGGCAATAGCAGCACCACGACGCACCACAAACGCACCCGCTACCCCGCCACAATCGGATAGGCGCCGATGACGCGGTGGCGGAAAATACCGCTGGAGGGGTGCTGAGCCGATGATAGCCGGGCCCTCCCCTTCGACGTGCTTTTGAGGAGCAGTCACAAACGCTGGCAGAAGGCGTGGTGGGGGCGCCCACGAGGCTCACGTCAAAGGTGCAGCGTCCCCCGGCCCTAGCGATATAGGCAGCGGCCCGCCCTCAACGGGGATCGGCTCCGCTCCAGTATTTGGCGGGGGGTTTACTGAGCCACCGCCAAGGAGCCGCCAGGGAAGTTTCGCCATGCTTGTCTGCAGAGATTGCCGACGGGCCGTGGGAGATTTTGTCCCGATTGGGTTAACCTTATGAATCGGCAGGGCCTACGTCTATCACCCGATGCCTACACCGGCAGCTTCTTATTATTGGCCGCCTGGCAGCCCACCACGCTGTGGTCAACACCAGGCTCCTAGTCCGTTTCATTTAGCCCTGCGTGGCTGAGAACAATGCGTAGACGGTCTCATTATCTTCCCAAACAACAACTCGATGCGACAAGAACATATTGTTTCTCGCTTGCTGCCGGCAGACTAAAAATACCCCCTACTCCAGCCACAAGTTTATCCGGCCACTAGGTCCAATACCAGCTGCACCTGGCCGTGTAAACTTGATTGTCTTTCTGGTAAAAATTCGACAAGCATTCCCCTAGTTTGTGGTTATTTCTCAACGTGGCCGGGGTAGGGACCCTGGCAACGCCCGACGGAAATCTCCTGCTTTGCCCTGGGTCGCCTCTGGCTATTGTCCTGTTCGTCATTACCGTAAGGAAACATTAGCCGAGCCCTCATCCTTCACCAAGGTGACGTGCCAATCCCCGAGGGTGTCTCAAAGGAATAAACAACGCTTTGTGGACTTGTACACAATATCCTTGTGAGGTTTAAGGTTTTGCTGAGCATGCTCCATCTCTCAGCTTTTGTGTATGCCTGGTTGCGCATGCCTGACCGTGCCCGTAGGTGGGTGGGTGTCGCCTTGTCGGCTGCGTTTGTGGCCGCCGGCCGCAGCTATTGTTTATTATTTCACCCGCTATTCATCTAAGGGTCTAAAGCCGCCAATAATAATGGTGACACAGGTTGTGATTGCAATACTTTAGTCGATGCCAGACAATTATTAGCGGGCTTGGCCCAACATTCTCGACATCAGCCCACCACTGCCAATGGCGGTGTATGTCGAATGGCTTACCTAACCCTACTTGTTGTTGTTTAGAAAATTAACGCTAGCTGGCGCTGGCGCTGGGAATACGGGGGGATTCGAGAGTTTACGGTGGATGCGTGGAATGTGTCGCGGGCGCCCCCACGCCCGGTGACGTCAGGAAGCTCATTAGGTTGTGGTCACCGCCTAAGGGCACCCACACCCCCAAGACAAAACGTTACCGCCCCACGAAACAAGCAGGTCGACCCCGGGGATGAAGGGAGTTAAGCAGCGAGGCTTATCCCGCTCACGAGTGTCGGCAGCCTGCTAATTCCGTGTCGGCGATTGTCACAAGAGAAATAAGGTCCACACCTCAATCCACAACACTTCCCCAACACCTGGTGGTGTAAGCCAAGGCTGATGGTGGCATTACCGCCAAACCAAAGACGCGGAACTCCCCGTTTCTAAAAAAGAAAAAAAAAAAAAAAAGCTTAGCTTTTTGGCGATCATGGCAAACTATCTTTAGCCGTTCAAGATAATAAAGTTGGAGGTGTCGCCCCTGGGTGGTCAATAGGCCTGGAACAGGAAGCAGAAAAAAAAAGCAAGGGGAGGTGTTTCTAGACCCGGAAGACAATCACCGGCTATTCGCGTGGTACAGATGCCGACAGCGACAAGCCCGTCGTATTTCCTGGAGGGGGACAGTAATAATTGGTATACGTTATCGGGAAGGGCCGCTTATTAAGTATTCGCACCAAAAGTGGAGCTTAGTAAACCATAGTAGTGACGCTTAGTCAGAGCACAGCCAGGCTTAAAAGCGTTTAACTAAATTGGACTAACCCAGGATAATTTACAAATAGCTTACAAATCATTGCATTTAATGGTGGTGTCGTCGTTAGTGTTATCTAATGAAACATCAGCTATGATATACTACATATAGAACCAATTCTGAGAGTTGTCATTGTTGAAGTCGAAGTAAGTTTAAATTAACAGCTCAACTACCACCTTCATTAAACTCAGAATATCAAATGGTTACGCCATCCCATCTCATTCTTCGTCCGCTCTGGTGTCCCCCCCACCATCTATCTCATCGCGCGCGGGGCCATCGCTACCACATCGCTCCAACACACTAAATGGCCGGGTCCCAGCTCAAGCTGTTAAAAGCAGCGCTCGCCAAGGAGGGGCTCATCGGGGCTCAGAAGAAGAAGAAGCTGAGCGACAAGCGCCGCAGTGACACGGAGAAGGTCATCAGAGGCATCCGCGATGAGTACAACCGGTTCGACCAGAACGTCAACCGCACCAAGCGCGACGTCCTGGTGATTGCCGGCGGCCAGTTCGTCAAAGAAGGCAGTGACCAGCATAACGATGTCCTGAGACGGAAAGGCGCCATCCAGCGCACCCTCAAGTCGCAGTACGAGCTTGAGCGGAAGCAGAAGGGGAAGCAAGGGGGGCTCATTGACCGTCGTTTTGGCGAAAAGCACAAGGGGTTGCTGGAGGAAGAACGCATGCTTGAAAGATATCGTCGGGAACGGGCTAAGGAAGCGAAGAAACGGGTGTTTTCGTTAGAACTGGACGACGAAGGCGCCGATGACGATGAAGGGTTTATCTTGACCCACGCCGGTAAACCTTTGGCCGTCGACGATGACGACGATAACATCCCTTTGAAACACCCCAACGAAGAAGATATGGTTGAAGCCGCTCCCACTAAGCGCAAGCTGAAACGTGAAGTGATGAATGAGATTATCGCTAAATCTAAGTTCTACAAGAAACAGAGACAAGATGCTCATGCCCAACAACAAGAGGAGATCATGGACTTAGACGATGAGTTTGAAGATGTCATGGACGCAGTGAGAGAGTCGCAACCGGCTAAACCTCAATTCTCGCTGAAGCTGGAAGAGGATATCGCCTACGACCAGAGAGTGAGGGAATTGACTTACGACCGCCGTGCGGCTCCTGCTGACGCTACTGAAACCGAAGAAGAGATTAAGAAGAAGGAAGAAGAGCGGTGGAAGAAGTTGGTGGCGGCCCGAGAGGCACGTATGACTGCTCGTGACGCTGAAGGTGACGACTTGGATGACTACTGGCACCAGCTGCTGGACGACGAAGAAGGTGAAGAAATTGACGGTGAAAAAGGCGAAGACGGTGATGATGAAGATGGTGAAGGTAGCGGTCGTTTCAGCCGCAAACCGTTGGCGGTGGCGATGCCGTCTCTGCTTAAAGACTTCCCCGAAGAGAATGTCGGCGAGTTTATTGGCCAAGTAGCTAAGGCATACGCGCCTCACTTGGCTGAAGGCAACAAGCAGTTGATGGACAACTTTGTCGCGCTTTTATTTGAGTATACCGTGGCCCACCCACAACACGCTGAAGTGACAATCCCTCAACTTCGTAAATTGGCTCTGAAGTATAATGAGGAGTTAGTCACTCGAGTACGCAATGAAATCAACACTATACGCGACCACTTGTTGCTGGGAGACGTTTCCGGTGCTGACATCTTCTACTTTGTGGCCATTGGTCTCATCTTCTCCACCTCGGACCACTACCATCTCGTAGTGACTCCCGCGGTGATTATGATCAACGAGTACCTTGCCTCGCTTACTAAAGAGCTGTCGTTGGCTCAGGTGTACATTGGTGTCGCTCTAGTCGATATCTACCTCCAATACCAGCGTCTTTCCAAACGGTATAGTCCCGAAGTGGTTCGTTTCATGGCATTGGCGTTGAGCCGTCTCGTACCTGAACCGCTGAAAGTGGACGGCAGCGAGCTGACAGAGCTGAATCTCGGTGCTAAGCCACCCAAGAAACCCGTCACTGCGCCGCTTTCTCTCTCAGCATTGCCTAAAGGGGACGTTGACCTCCGATACCCGGTGCTCCTCAAACTCATCAAACAAGTGGGCCAAATCACCGACTTGTGGCGAGATCTTGGGGTGCTTCTTGACATTGGCGATGCCCTCGGTCCCTGGGTGAACCACACCGCTAAATACTACGCTGGCGCTAACCCAGAAGTCGCTTCCACTGCCACCATGGTGGGTAAGCTTACTGAGGCCGCCAGACGCGACCGCAAGCCGTTGACGTTACAGTACCACCGCGCCATCGCCATCCCCACCTACGCGCCTGCTTTCGACGAAAACTTCAACCCCAACAAGCACTACGACAACAACGTCCACCGGGCCGAGTTGAACAAGTTGCGCCACACGTTGAAGAAGGAACGCAAGCAAACGCTCAAGGATATCCGCCAAGAACAGAAGTTCATCGCGGGGGAGAAGATCAAGGAGACGAAGCAATTCTACGACGACTACCACAAGAAGATGTCGAACATCATCAACTCGATCCAGACGACAGAGGGGAGGGAGAAGAACGAGTACGACCGCGAAAGAAAGCGCCGGAAACAAGGTTAGGGAGAATAGGCATAGACGATATAGAATACACATTTTTAAGGATATTGACGAGAGTAATACGTTTGTTATCCCACTCGCACAGAGCTAACAAATGAAGTTAAAGGAGTGGTTAAAGATAGTGGTTGTTGAGAGTCGGGAGCTTTTGATGACAGGTAATCTTCGATTTACATTACTGTCAAGTACATTTTTGATTTCGAAAAGTCACTAGACGTCGAAGCTTTGGCATTATTTCTGCTCCTGCCTCATACTCTAATTGCACCTGCGTGCGACAATTTGTTAGCCCGTGCAACAGTCGCACAAAACTGGTCCTGTCATATCCACAATTTTAAACACCAGAGCCATTTAATCGTCAGCAATTGACAACCACATCGGAGAATGATTACCCCACCATAATCTTTATCAATTATTATATCAGATGATGACGCTTCAGCTAAGTTTGGAAAACATTTACCCATATATTCCCACTACTCTTTCAGTAGGTTGCTGGTCCTGCACTGAGGTGTCGTGCGATCGTACCGTCCAACTCTACCACCACCACCACCACCACCACTTTCCTCAGACAAAACCTGCCATGGCGGACTCGCTTGCGCGGCTAGGCTCGATGTTCGAGCAGGCCAAGGACCTCACCATCGAAGCGGCGATGCTGGCGTCAGCTCGGCTCCTGGAAACACCGCAATCGTTGCGTCCCCAGGAGATCTCCACCCTCCTCAATTCTCGAAGTGACCGCGATATCGTCGCCGGGATGAAGTGTGTGGTCCTGCTTATATCTCGAGGCGAAGACGGGCTCCCCTATTTTGCTGATGTGGTGAAGAACGTCACCACCCACAACCAACACATCCGCAATTTGGTGCTTGTGTACTTGACTCGGTATGCCGAAGTGGAACCCGATATTGCCTTGCTATCGATCAACCTGATCCAGAAACTGCTTAACGATACTAACCCCATCCATCGCTCCCGTCTGATTAGACTGCTTGCCGGTATTCGCATTGCTCTGATCCTCCCTATCCTTGTGCTTAGTATCAAGAGAACGCTGTCAGATCCGTCACCAGTGGTGCGTACAGCTTCCGCAGTGGCTATTGGACAAATATACGTCGATGATGACCCGCTGGCACTGCAATTGCTTGAGTTATTGGCACGTTTACTTGCAGACTCGCTGACCCAAGTGGTGGCGGCAGCGGTGCGGACATTCCACCATATCCATCATGATATCGACGATGATGGCTGGAGATACATCCACGGCAATTTCAGACGGATATGTCGTCTTTTACCTCAATTTGACGAGTGGACCCAAGTGGTGGCCATTGAATTGGGTACCGCATACTGTCGCCGGTTTTTGCCTCAACCGACGCTCACATTGGCTACGGGTGAAGTGATCAACTTACCGCAATATTACCATACTTTCAGTGACTATACCGTCGACTTTGACCACGATCTCCAGCTATTTTTGCTGGCCTTGAAGCCGTTGGCTCATACCAACTCTGATGCTGTACTTTTGGCCGCTACACGCAGTTTGCTCAATTTAGCTCCCCCTTCGACGTTAGTGAGCTACAAGTACCATCTTGCTTTGACTCGAGCAGCGACGGCAGCGCAACTGTCGCAGTTTCAGTTCGTCGCGCTTGAGCTCATTGCCCGCATCTGTCGCCTCGACTACTCCGTGTTTTCTGAACGCTTCCGCTACTTCTTTGTGTTCCCCAACGATAGCGACTCAGTCGCGAGTGCTAAGCTTGCGATATTGACGACATTGTCGGCTAATCCCAATATCATCAAGTACATCGTTGAGGAACTCAAACACTACGCCCTCCACTATAACAACGACGTGGTAGCTGATGCTTCCATCAGAGCATTGGGAAGCTGCTGCCAGGTGCTGGAGGAGTGGAATAACCACATCTTAGCGTGGGCGTTGCGTCAAGTACAACGCACCTCGGGATCATTACTCAACCAATTGTTGAATGTGGTGCGGCTTGCGTTACACCATAAGATGACGGTGGCTTCAGAAGATCCTAAGGTGAAATCAGAGATTGTGCTGACCCTCTACAAATTGCTGTTGCTCCTCCAAGGAGACATGGAAGGTGAGGCTAAGGCGACGATGATTTGGATGATTGGCGACATGACTGTATACACCAAGAATCAAATTGGTCCCGATGTGCTTCGCCAACAAATTGCTACTTTTGCTGATCAACTGGAAGATGTTAGATACCAACTTTTGATGTTGGCGGCTAAGGTATTCCTGTTTGAGTTGGACCGCCTCACCGATGAGATTGACGATACTGAAGAGCTTCAACGACAATTAGACGACAACCGCATCCACAACATGTTCAAGCACGTGCTCTACCTTGCCAAGTACGATAACAGCTATGACACCAGAGACCGGGCTCGAATGATTGATGTCCTTCTCAATCGCGGACCTCAGGAACTGAAGTTAGCGTCGTTATTCTTACAAGTACCCAAGCCGTTCCCTGAAGCGGATATTGGTGCCAAAGGCGACCAGCATGTTGACGATTACATCACTACTGTGCCTGACTGGGCTGACCCCGCTACGCTTCCTGACTCCTCCGTTCGTGAAGAGATCCCCGTGGTGGAGAACCAAATTACCAGTTTCGCTGGCCAAGGTGATAAACGCAAACTGCCATCTCCTGGACCGCTTACCGGGATATCTCTGGCCGATGTGCGTCCTCCTCCAGCCCCCTTACCTCCTATGGATAAGGGTAACGGCAACCACACTGGGTATAAGCTCCAGTCGCTTGACGAGTTCTTCGGCAGTGACGACGACGAAAGCGAGAGCGAAGAGGGAAGCAGTGAGGACAGTGGCCTCAGCAGCAGTGACGAGGAGGAGGACGATGAAGAGGATGATGATGACGAAGAAGAAGAAGATGATGATGACAGTCACAGTTCGGACGAGTCGGAGCGTGGAGCGGTGGATGCGCTTAGCTCCGACGACGACGACGACAGCGACGCCTCGGTGTAATGCCCTTTTATAGATAATAATCGCCCAGCCCGCGAGCGCTCATCCTACAGTTGCCACGGCTCCCCGAGGTTGAGAGCCAGTTCCCTACACAGCCAACTCCCTATAATACTCTAGCCACAATCGGCACGGCCCGCGCCACGGGCGGTGATTGGCGAATGTCTCCTTCGTTCTCTAGGCATGACGATAATAAATCGTCGCCGACGCAAGCGTCAGCAAGAGCACATAGCAGCAAGACATTCTATTATCGCATCGGGGACTCCGATCCTCCCGGTTTGTGGCATTTCATTCCCCGCGAAGACACGCGCGGGCTAAGGCGCCAGCAAACATTTACTTGGTGGAGACAACCACTGGCCGAGGACGTTCGCTGCGTCAAGCGTGGCGGCTATTGCCATGGATAGCTAAGATAGCACTCATATCTATCATTGTAAAGAGTATCAGGGGAAGATTACTGGCCTATAGAGGTTTGTATTGGTGGCTGTTGCTACTGCGAAATTTACGATTTTTTTAAGAGGAAGTTGAGCATTTTTCGAGGCAATTTTTGGTAGCCGTGAATTGCTAATCCCGGTAGTCATTGCATGAGGACAGACAGTAGCTCCGGCCAAGCCTGTGAGATTACACTATAGCAATGGACGGTGACCCCACCAACAACACCAGTTGGGAGTGATTACCGAGTCTTGGCGTATTTTATCGCTAAAAAGCCATTAAGCTGGATGCTGCCGGCACCCACCTCGCTTGGGGCTTTTGTCCTTAATGGTATCGGGTTGCACTGCGTCAGCATAATGTCGGATGCTAGGGCTAGAGCGATGAGGCTAGAAAATTACTTTGGGAGACATTTATAGTGAGACTGTAAGCCTGTTTGCGGGGCGCAAGATGTGCCTGTGAAATGAAATGCCTTCCCAAACGGGAGCGACTATCTCCCAGAATGATAGTCATTGAGAGTGCGAAACATCAGTGCTGCAATAGACCACGATCGTTACCAACGCCACTTCCAACAATGCTGTGTCGAGACCTATGCGACGTGTTTGCCCACAACAACGCGGTCAACACTGAAGTGTATGCTTTAGACGAGCACGACCGACCTCGTGCTCAAGCCAGTGGCACCGACAAGCCCGACTTCTGGCGGATGCCGCAAATGTCTCCCAGAGTAGCCAACCGCCCGTGGCGGCTGGACCCGGACTATTTCCAAAAAGTGTACATCAGTGGGCTTGCCGTGGCCAAAATGGCGATCCACGCCAAGAGTGGAGGCAATTTGGAGGTGATGGGGATGCTTACGGGTAAAATTATCCCCCATGGCATTGTGGTGATGGATGTCTACCAATTGCCAGTGGAGGGCACGGAGACGCGTGTAAACGCTCAGGCGGAAGGTTACGAGTATATGGTCCAGTTCTCTGAGTTGCTGAAGGAAGTAGGCGGGCGCAGTGAGCACATTGTTGGCTGGTACCATACTCACCCAGGCTACGGGTGCTGGCTCTCAGGGATCGATGTGAACACCCAGGCATTGCAACAAGGGTTCCAGGACCCTTATTTAGCAATTGTGGTTGACCCCCACCAGAGTTCAAAGCAAAATAAAGTGGAAATCGGTGCTTTCCGTACCTACCCTGAAGGGCACAAGCCGAAGAAGGAAGAACAGCTGAAGCTTTCTCAGAAGGATTTACCCGCGAATAAGCGTAAGGATTTCGGTACTCATGCGGACCGCTACTACTCGCTTGCCATCGAGATCTTCCACTCCTCCGCCGACGATATCGTTATCCCCACTCTTTTGGCGTCAGAAGATAACAATTTGACCCACTTAACGACGCTGCTTGCTGACACCACTGAAGGTACTGCACTTGAAGTTAAGGATGACCATTTAAACCGCATTGGCGAGCTCACCCGCAACATCGCTGCTGCCGATATCCTGGTGAGAGATGTCCGCAACAAACAGTACATGCGCAAGTTTCTGCAACAGTTCCAGCTGCTTGCCAACAAGCGCATTGTCAGAGAAGACCGTGGGTGTCCTTGGATTCACCAGGGGGTTGATGATAGCGATGATGACGGGCGCGACGTTATCATGGGCGACGACATTGCCGACGACGAGAGCGATTTGGAGCGCAAAAGTTACCACATGAGCGATGGCGATGACGCGGTGCTGATGGACCTGAACCTGGCGTTTGACGATATGGAGGACGAGCAGTCACCGAGAGAAGTGCTGCTTCGCCGTGAAGTGCTGAAGCGGCTGTTGCGCAAACGTCCGTTGGAGAACCAGCTGGCAATGGCTAGAGCAATGGCACGAGCGGTGAAGGATCAGAATGTCCAGATTAATGAGAATAAGCTCTTTGGTCCCGCGATTAAGCTGGCCAACCGAGCCATCGCTAAGCGTGAAGCCCAAGAGTTGATGACTTTACTGGTCCAACAATCACTCTTCGGGTAAACCCGAAAGGAACCTAACTATTATTGGGCTGGTCCCAAATAGTGCATCTAGTTTGGTAATTAAAAACAGAGCTGTAAAAGGTGTAAGGAATACGGAAGGTAAGCTGGTGTCTGATTACACTAGCTCTATATGCACTCCACAACCTACCAAATATATATATACACGCGTCATGATACATTCTGAGTAAGGTAGTGCGTGTGGTGGCATCCTAAAAAAAAAAAACTAGCCAGGGCACACAACCGTTGATCCATCGCAGAAAACTTTTTTTTCCGCATCTCCCCTCCCCCCTCTCCACACTCTCCGGCCGTGCATACACTGTTTCCCCCCGGTCGAGCGTATTTTGTGGTGATCTTTTTCGGGGCATGTCCAACCCCGTTGTCAACCGGTTTTTGAGCCACCCGCTCTCGTTTGTGCCTGCGAAGCGCCGCGAGAGCGAGCAGCAAACGCCGGCGAGCGCCGCCTGTGTGGTGTTGTCGCTGGGTGCCGGCGGTGCGACCGCCGCGGGCGCCGGCGCCGCCGCGCCCTCGACTACAACTAACACCACCACCCCCGCCACCCCGGCGATGAAGCGGCCTAAACTGATGGCCGAGGCCGTCAAGGCGTACACGGGACGACGCTTTGGCGCCCAGCTGCCGCCGAAAAAGCCTACCCTCGAGCGGATCCCGACGCCGCTGCTCGACGAAGTCGACGACGACGAAGACCCCCTGGGCGACTCGCACTACGAGCTGGCGGACGAGGCGGCGCTGCCGACGCCCGCTACCAGCGACGGCGACGTGACTAGTGGTGACGGCGCCGATTCTAGTGGCGAGGGCGACGCCGCCAGCGGCGATGAGTCCGATGCCAGCGATGGCGCCATCGGCGATGTCGGCGCGCGCGCCGAAGAAGAAGACCTTGGCGAAGACTTAGGCGAAGACCTTGGCGAAGACTTAGGTGAAGACTTAGGTGAAGAAGTCGGTGAAGAAATAGGCGAAGAGGCGCTGTCGGAGGATGCCGACTTCAACGAAGAAGAAGCGGCGACGCTGCCCCTGCCCCTGCCGCTGGCGCTGCCACTGGCGCTGCCGCTGACGCTGGAAGACCCCGACGGCGACATCGCCCAGCTCCAGCGCGATTTGCGCGAAGAACAGGCGGCGGCCGAAGCGCAAGAAAAACACCAGACGCCGCCGACACTGCCGGAAGCTGATGCCGACAGCAAGCCGGCACCGGTGACGGCCGACCTCGGCCAGTACTACAACATCGGCGAGTGGGACGACGACCAGGGCAGCTACAGCACCCGGATCTACAAGAACTGGCGCGAGATGCTGGATAAACACCCCGTGGGGCTCATCAACCACGGGGTGACGTGCTACATGAACACCGCCATCCAGACGTTAATCCACATCCCTGCCCTCCAGCACTATCTCAACGATATTTGCACCGATAGTATCGACGGGTTCCTAAAGCCGAAACTGGTGCTGCATACGCTAGCCGAGCTCAGCCGCCGGTTATGGGGGCTCGACGCTCAGAGAAGACACAAGTACATCAACCCCAAAAAGATGATTGCGCGCTTGGACGACATCAACTGTATGATGAGCCAGTGGCAGCAAGAGGACTCGCACGAGTATCTCATGCTGCTTATGCTGAGGCTCCAGGAAGACCTGACGCCTAAGGGAGCTAAGCTCAATACGCTGATCATCTACGACATCTTTGGCGGGCTGTTAACCCAGAAGATCACCTGTTTGCAGTGTAACAACGTGCTGGAGACCGAGCAGGAGATGTACGACTTGCTGCTTGGCTTCAACCGGAAGAAGACGGCTAAGTATACCGTCGACAGACTGATCAAGGAATACTTCAGTAACGAGCTCATCAAGCCCGACCGCAAAGACGCTCAGCTGGGATACATGTGCGACCACTGCCACCAACGCACCCAGGCCAACAAAGTGAGCCACATCAAGCGGGCGCCCGAGACGTTGGTCGTCCACTTGAAGCGGTTCAAGTTCGACGGCAACTCGCTGCTGAAGGTGAAGCAGCTGATGAAGTACCCGGAGTACCTCGACCTCACCCAGTACACGGTGGAGCCGCACGCGCCCACTAAATACCGCCTCGTGCTGGTGATTGTCCACGAAGGGCGCCTGCTCTCTTCCGGCCACTACGTGTGCCACACCCGCCAGCCCGACGGCAGCTGGTGCACGTACGACGACGAGTTCTTGAATAAGATCCCCGACGCGGTGGCGTTGACCGACGTCGGCGCCTACGTGCTCGTGTACACTAAGCTTACTCCCAAGCCGGCAGCCACTGCCGACACTCCCGGCGCCGCGGCCACTGCCGGCGCCGGCACCAAGCGCGCCGCCGCCGCCGACACTAACAACGGCGGCCGCAAACAGCGCAAACGGCATAAAAAACACTAGATGGAATATTTATAGACGTAAACATCATCGCCCGTTCATTAGTTATGTTTTACTAGCCCAATAGTCACCCGTCGACAAGCACTTCGTCGTCCAGCATCGAAGCGTCGCCCTTTTTGAGCATCCCCCGGCGCACCATGTTGGCGTAGCTGTTGACGCCGTGGTAGCCGTGGCCGAGGGTGGCCAGGTCGCGGCGCCAGTAAGGGCAGCGCGGCAGGGCGTCGCTCGAACTGGCACTGGCGAGGCGCGGTCGCTGGTGGCCTAAGTTGAACAGCACCTTGCGCGAGGTGCGGTTGACCATGGCGCGGTCGACCAACTCCTTGGTGGAGCTGGGGTCCTTAAGAAAATTAATGTAGGCGTTTTCAATGACAAACTTGCCCTCCTTGTACTCTTCTTCGGGGATATACGCCTTCTTATAGTACCAGCCAAGGGGCAGCTCGCAGGTGTGGCAGCGCACTTTGTGGATCTGGTACACCCCCGTGCGCATGTGGGACTCGTGCAAGTGGAGGTAGAACTCGTAGTTGATCAAGTCCAGCACGAGGAATGCCTTGCCCGTCTGCCCCAGAAACCCGTCCAGAATCACGAGCTTCAGGTGGCACAAGTGGGTGAGGCACTGCTTGCACGTGATCACCCTCTCGCCGTCCCCGTCGTACTTGGCGTCGTCAAAGAACTGGTTGTAGCGGAGACCCATCCCCAAACGATGCCCTCGAAAACGATTAAATGGTTATTGAGGTGTGCGAGGGAGAAAAAGCTTGCAAGGGGAGTGTCGAGTGGTGGTGTTTTCCCCCCTCCCGAGTCCGGCGGTGGCCTCCCTATATATGCTCGCGCCTGCAGTTAGCCTGATGGCATACGCAACCCCATGGTCACGAGGGCTCCTGGCGGCTGCCTGATACCACCCTCCCGGGAGGTTGCCACGGGGCGTTAAACAAAGAAACCGCCGGCAGCAGCTAGCGACAGAATTATTATAGTTAACAGAACGTAATCTACGGAGGCTAGGACAACGGTTAACCGAATAGAGAGTGTGACCCTTAAGCTATTAGTTGCCGTAGGGGGTGGTGTGCGTAAGGAAAGGTGCGCTGCCATTTAAGGGGGTTATTCCCGGGGCACATTCGCAGGCAATCACCGTTGGCGGCACCGCGATGCCGAAAGTGGGTCGTGAGGCCGCCTTACATTGTGGCGGGCGACACCGCAACCGCAAAATAATGACGTTTATCGCTTAGGGGTTAATTTAGTCTATATACACACACCACTCGTTTTACCACTTGTAGTACCCGCGGACCTTCAAGTTGAGCGGCTGGTTGTCCAAGAACATCCGCGGCTTCGCCTGCTGCTGGGCTTGCTGGCGCTCCCACTGGCGGCGGAGCTTGGTCTGCTCGCTCTTAAGCACCGCCTTGACGTGGACGTACGGGTGACTAATCACCCCGGTGCGCCCGCGGCCTTTGGCGTCGAGCCGCTTGCGCCATTGCCCGTCGCTCCCCACCCACAACGCGTGGATGTACATCAGCTCCGGCGCCAACCCGATCTGCTCCAGCTGCTCCAACCCACGCTTCAACAACTGTTCCACCTCGGTCAGCATCTTCTTGGGGTTAAAGTGCAACTGGTTGATCGCCTGCTTCACCCCCATCCCGCGCACAAACCGGTTCACTTGGGTCGCCTTCTTCATCAGCGATTTAAGCCGGTACAGCAGCACGTACACCAGCGGCTCAAGCACGTCGATCTCTTCCTCAGTCAACAGCACTTTATAGGTAGCGCCCTCGTGTTGCACCACTTGGTGGTTTTTAAAGAACCCGTTGGCGGCGACGTTGGCGTTGAACAACGCCCGCTTCAACGGCGTGATAAACTTCAGCGCCTCCACCTGGGCGGCGAGTGCCTGTTCGTGTTTGTAAGCCTGTAAATCGGCGTCGTCCTTAACCGCGGGGGCGCCCTCACTGGCGTCGGCGCCTTCACCTCCAGCCAGCAGCAGCGACGGCGTCGCCACCGGCTCGGGCGTCGCCCCCTCGGTGACCTCGCCAAACAAACTGGCCCGAGCCACCGCCGACGTGTGGAAGCGTGCCGGGCGTGCCCAGCCCATACCCACGATCCGCTTCAACATGGTTGTGAAAAACTTTCGCGCGAAGAGTCGACTCGCGCCTGTTGAAGGTGTTTAATCGTGAGAAAGTGTTTTAAAACAAGTGTGAGAAATGCTAGCCTAGCGTAGAATTTTGGTCGAAATTGAGTGACTGAATCATGGCTTTGTAGTAATTGCCAATGATGACATGGTGTCACTTCGCAGAGCTTAATAGTAGAGCCATCAATGCCACTACCTTCCTTCGATAATTCACTAGTGAATCACACATCAGCTGATATATCAGCTGATAGATCAAATGTCACATTAAAGCGTCATTTGCTCTGTTTGTCGAAACCATGTCGATTCAACGCCATCGTCTACACATTATTTCGTCACATGCTGTCTATTATCTATGCATCATCGTAGCCCGCCAACGATTGGTCTCTGGGACGGTTGGGGAGGGGGTAGGCGTAGGGAATGGGCTCGCCGTCAGCATACCAGTACTTTCTTCTCAAGGGGGTGGCCAAAAGCAACACGGGCGCCGACAACCCAAGCAACACCGAAAAGAAGAAGTGGGGCTTGGTGTGAGCGTGGTATCTGGCCCACTAGCAGGTTAGTATCAAATGAAAGAAAGGACATTTGCAGTGGAACATACTCTCAAGGGCTGTTTGTAGTACAGAGGGTAGTCACCCCAGACCTTTTCAGTAGACATGGTGAAGGTAATAGTGGTTTTTTCGTCTCTTCATTGGTGGACCGAGCGCGCATGGTAGCGCTGCGCGTACTAAACATACTAACTGAACATCACTACTGAAAATTATCTTATTGATCATTTATATTACTATCTATATAGTGTTTAGGCTCTCTTCTTGGCCGACTTCTTGGCGGTGCCCGTCAGCTTCGCCTCGCCTGCAGGCAGTTTCAGCTTCAGTTTCAGCTTCAGCTTCTTCTTATCCTTCGCTTCATTAGCGACGTCTTCCGCCGCCAATTCGTTCACTTCGGCTTGTTGTTGCGCTTCCTTCTCTTGTTCGGCATAGAACTTTCTTTTAAGGTCACGGTCCTCAAGCTCAGCATAGTACAACCCCCCTTGCAACACCAACACCCCCAAAAGGATCACCGCCACCATCACCTGAGACGCGGCCATGACGTTGAGACCTGTGTTTTGGTCGACTTCACCCCAGTTACCGGAGATACACGAGTTGATCCCCGTTCTCAAGTTGGTGAGGTACACGACGATCGACAACATCACCAACGCCAACGTCCCGTACTCAAAGTACTGGGACTCGGGGTCGGGCTTGTACAACTTGATGAAACACCCGATGAGACCCAAGCCCATCACCGCGTGAAACACGTAGTGGACGAAGGGAGGGGTGTTGGCCCACATCTGGTAGTGGCGAAGGGTCAGGTCGAACGCGTCGGTGTTGTACCGGTAGAGCGTCTCCACCGAGTACGGCCAATTGCCGTAGATGACACCAAGCCCGAAACACACCGCACCAACAATGAGAGTGGTGCCCACGGGGATGAGGTCTTTGTAGGTTACTTTCGCCATTTGCCTGGTGTGAAGGAGTCGCCGCCGATGGGTTCAAGTACGGAGGTTTTTTTCTAGCTATGAGCGCGAACGCCGCACGGTGGGGAAGCCCCGTTTTCCCCTCGCCACCAAAAACGCCTTGGCCCAATTTGGAGGCGTTAAGCGAGGTTTTATCATATGATAGACAGGTAGGAGGATTGGGTTATAGATGGTGGTGACACCGGTGTATTATGGTGTTTGTTTCACATCGATAAGTGTCCCACGTGGTGGTTTAAAAGGGTGGCGACCGGAGTTGATGACCACCTAAAGTGAGCGCCCCGCTCATTCATCGCCTGACGTGAGCGCTGATGTAAGCGCTTACCAAAGCAAATAGAGGTGGGGTGAAAATGGGGGAGCTGCGGCACGGATGTTTTTTCTCTCGCTCTCAGCCCTTGACTGAAATCGCGCTCTACACCTACGACTTAGCCGTCGCTGTGCTTTTCCCTTGCCGCTGTGCTGTTACCCTCAGGTCTGTGCCTTGTGTTGCAATTTCCTAAAACCCACTCCAACCTTGGATTTCCCACTACCCACTAGTGTTTGTGCCTTTTTCACCTTCCACCCCCATCACATAATAACTTAATATGACCGACCGGAAACGGCTGTTATCTGAAGACGATGAAGACGACGACGACGTGCCATTGAACAAGAAAGCTCGGCTTGATGAAGAGGCTCGCATTAAAAAGGAAATGGAGGCAGAAGCGGAGCTGTCACCGGCCAAACCCGAACTGCTGCTGCCCGCTGTCGACAACGATGGTGACGACGATGACGACGACGACAATGACGAAAACGGCGATCTGAAACTGAAGTCAGCTGACGTCAAGGTGAAGGACGAAGACGACGACGATGAAGATAATGAAGATAACGACGATGACGAGAAGGATAAGGAGGATGAAGACGATGATGACGATGAAGAGGATAAAAAACGTACTACCACTTTCGACGTTGGTGGTGATACTTACACGTTCAAAGAGCGACCACTGGTGATTGAAGAGAAGGAAGGAAAAATCGAGTTTCGCGTGGTCAACAACGATAACACTCGCGATAACTTAATCGTGCTTACTGGCCTCAAAAACATCTTTAAGAAGCAGTTACCGGAAATGCCGCGAGAGTGCATTACTCGTTTAGTCTACGACCGACTGCATTTGAGTATGGCGGTGGTGAGAAAACCGTGTACTGTCGTTGGTGGCATCACCTACCGACCGTTCAACAACCGTGGGTTTGCCGAAATCGTGTTTTGTGCCATCTCCTCCACCGAACAGGTGCGGGGTTATGGGGCACATCTCATGAACCATTTGAAGGATTATGTGCGGGCCACCAGTCCCATCAAGTACTTTTTGACCTATGCCGATAACTACGCCATCGGCTACTTCAAGAAGCAAGGCTTCACCAAGGAAATCACCCTCGAAAAGCTGGTGTGGATGGGGTACATCAAGGACTACGAAGGTGGTACGTTGATGCAGTGCGAAATGCTCCCCTCGACCATGCGCTACCTCGACTCGCTGAAGGTGCTCTTGTTGCAGCGGGCTGCCATCGAGAAGAAGATCAAGATGCGGCTGAAAAGTCATGTCGTTCGCCCGGGGCTCCTGGTGTTCAAGACCAACAAAGGAGCATCGATTAAACCCGAAGATATCCCGGGGCTTCTCGAGGCCGGGTGGCTGGAGGAGATGGACCGATTGGCGCAAAAGCCGAAACGAGGGCCGCATTATAACTTCATGGTGCAGTTGTTTGCTGAGATGAACAACCACCCGTCGGCGTGGCCATTCGCTCTGCCAGTGAATAAGGAAGAAGTCACTGACTACTATGACGTCATCAAGGAGCCCATGGACCTCAGCACCATGGAGCTGAAGTTGGAAAACGACAAGTACGAACTGTTTGAACAGTTTTTGTACGACGCTCGCCTTATTTTCAACAACTGTCGTGCCTATAATGGTGAGAATACTACCTATTATAAGAATGCCACTAAACTTGAGAAGTTCTTGAACAACAAGATCAAGGAGGCTCCCGAGTACGCCCAATATGTTGAGTGAGACATCAACTATACTAGTGAGACATCGAGACTAGCTTCATACAATCGAGACCGTAGCTACTAATATCACGCGAATATCACTTAAATGTAGGAAATAAGTATTCCACATGTTTTTTATACAACTACATAAAAGAGGGCTCCTTTTTTATATTCCTGGTCTTTTAATTTTCGCTATTTACCGATTAGCCGCGATGATCACGCTCGGTCCTTATCGCGAGCCGCACGTTATTTCATTCCCCATGATGCGACCAGGGCCGAGTATCGTCAGGGGCCTCCGGGCGTACTCCATCCTCAAGGACCTCCCTAAAGTGGCTCCTGTGAGTGGTCAGGATGCGGGGAAAAAGCCCGCTAATCGGTTTGCCGATATGTTCAACAAGAAGCCCGGTCCCAAGCCTAATGGCGGCGCTGGAAATGGAAAGCCCAAGAACCGGGGGCAAAATAACCATAATAACCAGCATAAAAAGCCCAACCAACCGACAAATGAAGCTAAGCCTAAGCTGGCAGCTGAAGTGGAGCGGGAACGGGCGGAAAAGTACGCGGCGATGAAGGAAAAGATGAAGGCGAAAGTGGCGCCTACCACCCCCAAACAGTCTGCCAATAAGCAGCAAAAGTCTTCAAAATCGAATAAACTGACTGTGGAACCAGTGAAGCTTAAATTGCCGCTGTTTATCTCAGTTTCCAACCTCGCCAACGTGATGCAAGTGCCGTTAAACGACGTGTTTGCCAAACTTGAAGGGCTTGGATTTGAGAAGATGCATCACAATTTTATTCTCGATAAGGAGAACGCGTCGTTGGTGGCTGACGAATACAATTTCGAGGTGATTTTCTCAGATAAGCTGAGTGACGATTTATTCCCGGCCCCCGTCAATGAAAAGCTTTTAAAGCCGAGACCGCCAGTGGTGACGATTATGGGTCATGTTGACCATGGTAAGACGACAATTTTGGACTTTTTACGGAAAACTCTGGTTATTGACCAAGAGTTTGGTGGTATCACTCAACACATCGGGGCGTTTCTGGTGATTACCCCTCAATCGAAGAAGAAGATTACGTTCCTCGATACTCCCGGGCACGCTGCCTTCTTGAAGATGCGTGAACGTGGGGCTATTTGTACCGATATTGTCATCTTGGTGGTGGCCGGTGATGATCTGGTAATGCCGCAAACGGTAGAGGCCATCAAGCACGCTAAGAAGCTGGGGGTTCCCATTATCGTCGCTGTAAACAAGTGTGATAAGCCGGGGCTCAAGATCCAAAAAGTGTTTGGTGATTTAGCTCACCATGGAATTGACGTCGAAGACTACGGTGGTGACACTCAGTGTGTACAAGTGAGTGGTAAGACCGGGCTCAACATGGATAAGCTCGAAGAGGCAGTGGTGACGCTTGCTGAGATGAGCGACTTACAAGCGGAACCGCTGGGAGTGCCTGCTGAAGGGTGGGTGATTGAGCTGGAGATCCAAAAGGGGTTCGGCGCTGTGGCCACGGTGTTAGTTCGTCGGGGTACGGTAAAGAACGGTGATGTCATGGTTGCTGGTAAAACTTACTGTAAAGTGAGAGGGATGAAGGATGAACACGGTAAGCCCGTTAAAGCTGCTGGACCGTCTACTCCTATACAAATGTGGGGGTGGAAAGAAGTACCAGAAAGTGGTGAAGCCATCATCCAGGCCAAAAACGAACTGACAGCGAAGAAAGTGATTGCTTACCGGGAAACTCGTCACAAAGAGATCCAAGCGTTACGGGAAATTGAAGAGATTAACTCTAAACGTCAACTGGAACTTGACCAATTGAAAAAGCAGGAAAAGATCAACCAGATGAAGATGGCGGGGCTCGACACTCTGGAGCTTGAACAGGAAACAGCCCTGACGGTTAAGACGTGCCACTACATCGTCAAGGCGGATGTGTTTGGGCTGGCGGAAGCCATCAGGGAATCAGTCGACGGTCTCGGTAACGACGAAGAGATCACTGCTAAGGTGGTTCGTTGCGAAGCCGGGGCTCCCACCGATCTGGATATCGAGCTTGCGAAGACTTTGGGCGCCACTATCTTCACCTTTAACATCGCTACTCCGAAACCCATTGCCTTGCGGGCTGAACAGGACGGCGTCAAGATCTCGGAGCACAATATCATTTACCGGTTGATTGAAGAAGTCACCGAAGAATTGCAACTGCACTTGGCTCCCACCATCGAAATCAAGGTGCTGGCTCAAGCCTCAATCAAGGGGGTGTTCGAACTTGGAGGTAAGAATAAGAAGACGGTGAAGGTTGCTGGTTGTAAAGTGAATAAGGGTGCCATCAAACGGACACTGGATGTGAGAGTGGTGCGTAATGGTGACGTCATTTACGAAGGCCACTTGTCGTCGTTGAAGCACGTCAAGGACGATATCGAGGAGGCGAAAAAGGGGAACGAGTGTGGGTTGTCGTTTAAGAACTGGGACGACTTCAAAGAAGGCGATGTGGTCGAGGTATACGAAAAGATCGAGCATAAACGGTACTTGTAAATAGCTGTACAAATATATATATCAAGAATTTTGAGGAACGTGTTTGCATTTCATTGCCACAACAGCATTATGTCACAGTTGAGTCTATGCTCATATTTGACGATACTTCATTGGCCATCAGCACCAATCACGAAGTTAGAATTATAGTTTCAGTCTTGATTCGAGATCACTCTTCACATTAGTCGTCTTCTGTCTCTTTAAACTTCGCATGATCACCAGCATCATTGTTTAAGCTTTAGACTAATCGATGAAATTTAGGGGTTTTGGGAAAGGATAACATCATCAGAAGTGAATAGTCTTCGGCATATAAAAATGGAGGCTGCCAGCTGGTATACCATATCTCCATGTCCAGACTCATCGTTGGAAGTTGCCATAAGGTATTCTCCATTGGCACCGCTGTATCTGATTCTCCAGCAATGCAAGCGTCTCTAGCTAGGTCACTTCCTCTGCTTCCAACAGAGAAGGACCGTCAACGTGTGGTTAAGTTTTTCAACAGATTTGACGGCTTACGGGCCCAGGAAAATGCTGCTGTGAGACAAGTTGCATTAGTATCTTTGAGCACCGTTATTCAAATTTATGAACGGTACCCACAATTTTCCCAAAGCAGTGATCTTGTGAAGAGTTTGGTGAACAAAATGGATGTCAAATTTTCACGAAAACTCCGTGACTTATTTACTCGATATCGGCAACAGCTCACCCTCGATCTCACTATTGGCGGTCAACTGATATTATTATCCGAGATGATTGCAAAAGAGTTAGCATTGAAGCTTGATCGAGTGCAGTATCTCAAGCGGGTGTTCAGCAATACAGTGACACTCAATGCGGAGGACCAGCGTCAAGTTGATGAAGCGTTTCTCGAACTCGATGATTATTTAGGGTCCTTCAGCAACGACTACCAGGAGAAGTTGGATATGCTCGAGTCCGATTGTTTTGCGGGCACCAGCATCGACTCGGTGCTCGTTTTGCCTCAGGGATTTATGTTCATATTGAAACCGGGATACGCCCCTGAGGAGTTATTCATTGGGTATGAGTGATTCGTCGTGATTTTCGGAAATGAGGGGCAACTATTCCATACCGACAAGTGACATCATCGACACGGTATGTAATTGGGTTTGTGACATGTTTCAGTGATGCCCCTCTCGTATTTGTTGCATAGTGCCTTGACGAAAACACTGCCCATATTTATAAATAGTTGGAATACGAGACTATAGAATTTACAGGCACTAGTCATGATGTGTAGATCTCCATGGTTGAATTGTCCAAAACGCGAGTGCCTACTCACATAATACCATGGGAGGCACAGTTTTTTTATAATAGAGTACCGCCAAGCACGGCTATCTACGATCGTTACTTGTTTCTTGCGCATCACAAGCGCATCAGACGCGGTGGGTACCTACATCGCGAATGCAGGTGCATTTTAAGGTTGTTCACTACACGTGAACATTTGAGCGCGTCGCTCCTCGCGGGATCTATGCTAGTGCTTTTTGCACCCGTGCCGTAAGCCGCACCACGGCGATCGACATCCACAAAGAGATAGTGTCTGATTTCGATCGGGGGCACAAATTGAGAGGCAACAAAAGTAACCAAAACTGAACATAATAGGTACACTAGTGGGAAATCCATCCAGAACACGAAGAACGTGGGTTAAGCTATCTTCAATGTCCCATTTGTTTGCAGGTCGTATTGGACTGTTTTTCATTCCTCGAGATGGTTCAAAATCGACGTCACCAAACATTTCTCATAGGGCGAGACCACGATCGATACTCCGCTTAAGCCAAAGATTTCGGGTATAAATAGAGGTGTAGATTCCTCCAGTATCCCTCATCAATCTCTACAGAACAACAATGGTTTCCACTGCCTCGATCCTTCCTTTGAACACCCTCCTCGTCACCGCCTTGCTTGCTGGTGCTGCCACTGCTGAAGGCACCACCCACCAGCCCGTGATCTACGCCACTTCGACCACTGGCAACGCGCAACGGTCGTTGTTGGAAGAAATCGAAAATGAAAGCCGTCCCAAGTGGAAGCGTGATGCTCTCAGATTGCCCAAGTTTGCCATTCCTAAGTTTGGGGGTAAGAAGACCCCTACTGGTTCGGCCCCGGCTTCGACTGGCAAGAAGATTGCCAAGAAGGTCGGTGGATTGATCCCTGGTTTGGCTTTGACGCTCCCGGGCTTGTTCGGTGACGATGCCAGTGATGATGTTGATGCCGTGTACTTCGCCTACGACATCAACGACAACCCGACTAGCTTGAGTCTTGGCAACGGTCACCAAGTGCAATTGAAGGGTAAGGACGACAACCCTCTCTCGTTCTTCACCTTCACCTTGCCCGAAAACACCCAATTCGTTATTGACGCTTACAAGTCGTACGACGATCAGCACTGGGATGTCTACGTTGCTGGTGGCTCTGGCCACATTGTGGGGTCTTGCCACGCTGACGGTGACGCCGTGCAAAAGGTTTCCAACACCGTGGCGAGAGCGATTGTCTGTTCGGTCGACACCTCGCTTAACTGAACGCCTGGTTCGACTCTGGTCGTAGCGACCACTTTTATACCCTGATTTTGTTTATCTGATGTATCCAATGTAAGCGCTGTACTAATTGGAATCCGACTTGTAGACTTGTAGCGCCAGAACAATCAGAAATCAGAAGATCTTGCTCGATTGGGATCGAGACTAATTCACGGTCGGGCCACGTCATCGATCTCTCCAGTGACTGGTATTCGATTTGTATTGGTATTTCACTCTGAACAGCGAGCATCAGTAAATCGTAGCGTAATGGCGGCAGTAATCGAATCAAATGAAACCTAGATACTTTTGATCGTAAATAGATGGTCACGAAAGCATAACTTCAACAATTGTCTCTTTGTTCAATTCGAATATCAGCATCATCGTTGGCCAACTAAAACCCCACCAGGGGGCATCGCGGTGCGGCGCACGACATGTCATCTCACGATGAGTATTCGCTGGACGAAGAGGACTTCGTAGGCGGGGGGCAAGTGACCCTTGGCTTTGTCGATGTTCCCTTGGCTGAGATCAAAGCCGACGATGACCCTGTCACCGTCGAAGACACGTTTATCGGCGGCGAGCCCATCTGGCTCCACCCGGAGCTGAAGCCCGCCGACCGCAGCCTCCACTGCGACAACTGCAAGCAAAAGATGGCGCTTTTGCTCCAGGCATTTGCTCCCTTGGACGGCAAGGACTACGACCGGGTGATCTACGTGTTCGCCTGCAAAAACCTGGCGCAATGCTCGCGTCAGAAGGGGTCGGTGAAGGCGATCAGAGGGGTGCTGAAAGACCCCGCCAGAGTGGTACAAATCAAGCAACAGTTGAAGCAGCAGTTGGACAAGCAAATGGATGCCAAGTTGAAGCTTGAGCCGAAGCCGTTTGCCAACCCTTTCGGGGGTAATGCCCTGGCGTCGCTGAACCCGTTCGCGGCTAAGGCTAACCCTTTTGCCAAGGATGTCAAGCAAGAAACGGCTACCGAGGCAGTGGAAAGGCCCGATGAACAAGCAGGGGAAGCGGCAGCGGTCAACAACGTCGCTGACGCCCTGTTTTCGGGGTACCCTGGCTTCTTGGTGTACACGGAACCGGAAAAGCTTAAACGGATCCAGGATGAGCCTGAACTCGAAAAGTACCGTCACTTAATCGAAGAAATGGACGAACCAGAGGAACTGTCATCGAAAAAGGGCGGTCGTCGCGACCTGACGTCGTCGAACGGCCCCGTGCTCGACCCGCAAACGCTGAAGATTCTGAACATGCTTGACGACAAGTACTTTGAAAACTTTACCAATACCGTCAACCATAACCCGGGACAAGTTTTGCGGTACGATTTGGGCGGTCACCCGCTCCTCTACAACGGTAAGGATGACGTGGCTAAGAAATTCATTCTGGCGTCGGGTGAGACTTTGATCCCTAACCCTGGCTACAACCCCCTGAGCACTCGCCAATTTGAGTTACAGCTCATGCCCAAGGCGATCATGGACTTGGAAGACGTGGCGCTGAAGCAAGTCACCGACATCTTGAACGGGATGCTGTGGGGTACGATTATCGTGGCTACTGATGTCGAGGACTTTATGCCTCACTTCGACGACCATCACGTCGGCTACATCGACGAGTGGTGCGGTGTCCAATGGGAAGAACTGACTTAGAACAGAAAAGACTCTGAGGGAGTATGGAATTGAGAGTGTATAGGAAGCTTATAAACAGGATTATTACTCTGATGTAGGCATTGTCGATGACAATATGAATGGCAGTACAATAGACTATTCAACGTGTACTTTTGCCAATATTAACTTTCAATGGCACATTCTCTTGATTTTATAAACGGGCAAATGTCCTGGATATAAGCCGTCGTCAAGTTGACGAGAGAACAATGACGAAGCATACCCCTCGTCAATGTTACGCCAATTCTAATGAAAAATACATCGCGTGACGTCTCGTGGAAGATAGACACATACTAAATCGTTACACAAACAGCACTTCGCTTTTGAGTCAAGTCTGGCGTTAATGTCGGCATAGTTGGTCGATCTGATGATCCTGACCGTTGGACTTGACAGATTACGTGATACGGCATTGATGGTATGAAAAGCCGAGCCTTATAGCCGGCTACCTGGTTGTCTGGGTTACCACTAGTTCATCATTCTTAGGACTAGAAAAATAATTGTTCGAGCCTGGAATGGTTGAATAAAAGATGGACAAGTACCCCATAAGATACTACCACCCAGCAGCCTCTCACTTTCTCATCATTTGTAATGACCACGAAAGAACACCATCCCTCCGCGAGAGTACCTATATGATAGCCCGAAATCAGCAGTTCACGAAACGATGGCACTCTCTGTTGACGTGCCATAATGCATATCGGTGGCATTGACGACAAAGGGGACGCGTAGAGACGGTCAGTGAGGCCGACCATTACTATCCTCAATTCAATACCACTCTCAATCATAGTACCTCAATTGCATCCATTAACAGAAGAATGACGCGAAATCAACCACTTTTGGGGCCTAAATGGTCATCATTTGGTACATCTTTGACATTTTCGTGTCGCAGATCGAATTTCTTAGACTTGCAGGGAGGGGTAGAGGGCATTGTTCACACTCAAATATATAGGCTGGTGGCTTCCTTGTAGGCGTCGTCGTAGAATCAGACCACATCATGGTCAAGCTCTCGCCTCAGCTCAAAATATGTTACGGGAACATGGGTACGGTCAAATTCACCGGTTCATCATCGAAACTTACGGAAGTGATCGCCCTGTTGGCCACCGTCACCGACCGCCATAAGTTGGTTGATTTCCTCAAGGAGTTCTACAAACTTGCCCAGGCACACCTGGCGGAAAAGTTCGCCATTTACAAGACGATTATCGATAGCATCAACGCTTTTGTCGTCAAGCTTGCGGTGTTTGACTTCCAAATGGCAAAAAACCTCCAAAAGAAGATTGTCGAGTGCAACAACGCATGGGCAGCTGAAGACGATCGCCTCACTGAAGAGGTTCATCGGAATATACAGCACGAGACGGTGGCACTCACGTTGGAGTTTCTCAAGCTGGAGGCGTACGAGAAAGCGCAGGCCAATCGCAAGAGAACTTTCACCAAGTTTCGGGAGATCCTCGAGCGTGAGTCAGATGATCGCTTGACCAAGCTCCGCCGAAAGCTTGACCGCTTGATTGAGCGGCTGTTGCAAGACTGGACGTGGAAAGAAGAGACATTTAAGATCGACGCCACCCAGTTGGCGGCGACGAAACTTGAAGACTCCTGCGTTGGGTCGGTGGTGTTCCCGCCTCAACACATTGTCTTCTACTGTGAAACCCGCCGAGGTCCTCACCGGTGTATTGTGAAATACTGAATTTGGTAGGGGGTGTACCTGGTGCCTGGTGCATGGGGGGATCACAGAGGACCGCAGGGTGAATAATCCCAACGGAGTTAAATAGTATTCAGGGAATGACGTAATGAAATGTTCGATTTTGGGGTTTGCACTATTCGTTCGTAACTCATCTTTGCTAGAATTTTGCGGTTTTTGTGGAATTACACTACCCATGCTAACAATAACCGGCTTATCTTTAAGACTCACTCGATTAAATATCACAAGCATTGACTCTGCTGTTGATAGCAAGTACCACTGGTTCCCCCTCGAGCAGTGGCATTACGTACTTCGAAGGAGGAAGCGTTCCGCTGCCGATCGGCATGCGATGACTATAATTAGACGGGGCATTTGACGTAGCTCTCTTAGTCAGCATTCTTGCCGACGCCATTACCTCACACGCGACGTGAAGCACCCTGCCCCCTTGCCCTTGCTGTCTATGGGGCGCATCGAGTGGTGGCTTTGGTGGCATGATGTACCCCACCCGCGGGTTTCGGGGGTATCCCGTAGTCACTACCACCCACCAATTAGCCTAGTTGACGCCGTGAAACCAGAGGTACTCATCTCATTTTCACTACTATTCATAGGATCGAGGGCTCCGTTTTTGTGGTAGTTTACGCGTGGCGGGTAGCCGGCGATGACGTCATCGTGTCACCACTGAGCTTGGCGACCAGAAATGTCCTACTGCACACATCTTAATCACCGAGTCCACCACCATCCTACACCAAACCCTCCCTCCATAGCCACCAACCGAGCGTATACTGGCCAGGGATGAGCGACTCCAGTTCTGACGACGGCGGCGGGTTCCGCCTGACGCTCCACTTCCCCCAGATGAAGGCGGCGGCCAAGCCCAAGAAGAACCGCATCAAGGGCGCCAAAAACCGGCTCAAGGGGAAAAAGACCCACTTCCCCGACTCCTACCTGGCCCCGGGACAGCGTATTACTAGCCAGGTGTCGCTGAATAACTCGAGCGACCTGGAGTTCACCTTGCCCGAACAAGGGATGGTGCTGATGGAGATCCCCAGCATCGACTGGATGGCGACCCACAGCGCGTTTCCACTGGACGGAGACGATGATGAAGAAGATGATGACGGCAACGATAGTGACGCCAGCGCCCACGCCGCCCACCAGCACCACCAGCGGACGGCGCAACCCACCCATATCAACTTTGACCGTGATTCGTCTGACGCCGATAGCGACGAAGGAACTACTCCATTCCACCCTGAAGGGGGACTCCACCACGTACAACTGCGACAGCTGAAGCAGCTGAAGCAGCTGAGACAGTGGCGGCGCCCATCTTTAAGTCTGGACGTGGCGGATATCCCGTTGCGGCCACCAACAGGATCAGGAGCAGCAGCAGCGGCACTGGGCGACGCGGCGCTGGCGCACGACCTGGCTCTGGGGCGTCGGGGACTGGTGATGTCGCTGACTAGACTGCAAATGTCTAAGGATCACGAAGGGCTGAAGCTTAAAGGTATACTTAGACGGCTCGCCCTCAAACACGAGGACTATACCCCAGGGTTTGCTCCCACCCAAGATAGCGATGATAGCCTGGTGGCACCGACAAACTCGCCGAGTCAAGGGGAACTGTTCATGGGGAAGATCTTTAATTTGGGTAGTGGCGGTCTTTCCGGAGGCGGCATGACTCCCGGTGCCACCAAACGCAACTCTGACGACCCTCCTCTAGACGAAGAAGCCAGTGTTGGCGATACTTCCACCAGCATCGAGATGAAGCGGCTCCACCCTCTGGATATCGACGAACATGCCAAGAGGTTAATCATCGAGCACGCCCCCGATGCCGCGGTCCACTTTGACGATTCTTTAGCGAGTAATGATCCCCATGACCCCCATCCGCTGTCGCTGCTGCTGCTGGGTCTGCCACCTCACTTAGGGCCGGAGATGCTGGTCCCTGATTCATTTTACACCGAGAACACTGGTTTAGCCAAAGAACGTGAGGTTGGCGGCTACGACGATATTTTAGTCGACCACCCCGACGACGATTACGTGCCCCCACCAAAGAAAGTGCAGACGGGTGTGCTTTCGCTGTTGTTGAAGCTCTACCAGTCACCGCAAGAGCTGAAGCTGAGTGCGACGTTGGCGCTGCTGGCAGTGACGCTGGACGAGGACCTTTCGGGTTTCGAGGACCACTTGTATTCTCGCCACCCGTCGATGGACTTGAAGCACGCGCCGTTGAAGACGAGGATGACTGCGGGTCAGCAAGCGTCTAAGTTTGCCAATAAATTCTTGCGGAAGAAGGATAAAGCCCCCGAACCAGAAGCATTCTCGTCGGATGAAGACCCCGAGGGCGAGAAATTCGGTGGTGGCGGTGGTACCGATTCCCACATGCCACTGTTCGCTAATGCTCGGCCTAAAGCTCCCAAGAAGAAGATCAAAAACGTTAAGATCAGAGACAAGTTGCGTCAAAGCAAGCGTCGTCAACAACGGTTACGTATCACCGTCCACATTGCTGATATCTTGAACCGCCAACGGTTCATCATGAGAATGTGCCGTGCGCTTATGCTCTTCGGTGCCCCGACTCACCGGCTTGAAGAGTACATGGTGATGACGCTGCGAGTACTTGAAATCGACGGCCAGTTCGTGTATATCCCCGGCACCATGATCATTTCGTTTGGTGACGCTGCTACCAGAACTTCGGAAGTGCATTTAGTCAAGTGCGCTCAGGGGGTCAATTTGCTGAAGCTTAGTGACACCCACATAATTTATAAACAGGTGATTCATGATTTGATCTCTGTCGAAGAAGCGCTGCAGAAGCTTGAAGACTTATTGAAGCTGAAGAACAAGTTTCCCGCATGGGTTTCGGTGTTCCTTTATGGGTTAGGGCTGTTAGCTGTGGCTCCGTTCGCCTTTGGTGCCGGCTGGGTCGATTTACCGATTTGCTTTGGCGTTGGTCTCTGTGTCGGCTACATGCAATACTTTGTTCTGCTGATGCTGAATTTGTACTCGTCGGTGTTTGAAGTGACGGCGCTGATTGTGGTGCTGTTCATCCTGAGAGCGATCGGTACCATCCATCGCCACGACGGCTCCCACATCTTCTGCTTCAGTGCCATAGCTCAGGGCCTGTTGGCCCTCATTTTACCCGGTTACATCATTTTGTGTGGCTCGCTTGAGCTCCAGCTGCGTAACATTGTTGCTGGGTCAGTGCGGATGTTCTATGCCATCATCTACAGTTTGTTCCTTGGGTTTGGCATCACGTTGGGTGCTGCACTTTATGGGTGGATCGATAAAAAAGCCGTGAGTGCCAATTCTTGCGACCCCGGACACAACATTCGCGACGAGTTCCGTATCCTTTTTGTGCCGCTTTTCACGGTGTGTTTGGGCCTTATCAATCAGGCACGGTGGCGCCAGCTTCCAGCGATGTTGGTGATTCTGTGCACGGGCTATGTCGGCAACTACTTCGCCGGGAAACACTTTTCCAACGTCACCGAGTTTACCCTGTGTATCGGTGCGTTCTTCATCGGTATTTTGGGTAACTTATACTCGCGGCTCGGGAAAGGGATGGCCGTGTCGGCGATGTTACCGGCGATTTTCGTTCAAGTGCCTGGGGGTATTGCTCTGAACGCCAATTTGATATCCGGGGTCCAGACTGCCGATCAGATTAACCGTAAGAACGGTACCGATACGTCGAATAGTCTGGACCGAGCGCTGTCTTTGGCGTTTGGTGCTACTATGGTTGAGGTGTCCATTGGTATTAGTGTGGGTTTATTCGCTGCTGCCATTGTTGTGTATCCGTTAGGTAAGAAGCGGACGGGGTTGTTTTCGTTGTGAGTCGTTTGCATGCGGCGATGAGCCAAATCACTTGTCGTCGCCCATCATAGAAAAGTTTGTTTTCGAAATAGACACATTTTTCATCTCGAAGTGGAGTCTATACGGGCCTAGGTGTAATAATGACACCCCCAGGCTCTTTAGTAATATAATCACGTGACATATATAGAATTGTTTGATTAATGAACGAGAGACTATTCGAATCAACGCGACTTAGTAGAGCCTAGCATATGTCATCGAAGATGTGATCTTCCCTTATGATTTTCTGTATTAACAGACTCACAGTGGACATCAACGTATATGTTTACACGCAAAATGAGGATCAAGTACTATTGGAGGAACCCACTGGAGCTGTGTTCAATCTCCTGTGGTCGCAACTAGTATTTCGAAAATTTGCAGCCGATGACGTCATAGATATGTACTACTCCAAACACTAGCTTCTGTGAACGCGCACAACAATCATAATGTCCACAATCGAGTAATTGACTTTGGTACAACCAGACCAAGTCCTTCACCGCTACTACCACATATGTTGGCCTCACGGTATTTACCTTTAATGACGCCATCTTTTACGATTGCCTACCACCAATCGCATCTGAAATTGAATTCCATCCATGGAGAACGCTACTATCACAACAAACGGGCACTTTTGATGGATGGGAGCTAACAATGACTTTCCTTATGATTAGAAATTCACTGCTTAGTATGCTTGCGCCGATGACACTGGCTGATGCTTTGCTCTGCAACTTCCTCCGGTTGATCTGTTCTGCTCTGTGTGATGAATCTGTTATATACCATGGATATTCGAGGTGTCACTAGTTTACAATCATAATGTTTCACAACATGGGGTCTAGTCAACATGGCTCCGGGGGAAACCATGGTGAACGTCGCCAGTCAAGACCCTCGAGTGCGCCGACGGGATCACACCCCTACTTACCGAGTCGTTACTCGTCTCCAGCCCTAGCTGTAGAGGCATCTTCCGGAGGCGGTGACCGAAATATCGGCAGTGATGTGAAATCCCAAAAGATTCAACAAGCTGAAACCATTCTCCTCCAACTTGGTCCGCTTGCCTATTTCGACAAGCATACTTCCATTTGCTACGTGTTGAACAAAAATTTGTTGGACGTCGATCTTGATACACCAGCGTACAACTACATCCTGCCTTTGCGTACATATCCCCCATATCTGTACAGTCTCACCAGAAATGGCAATATTATTCAGGCTCAAGGTTCGGGTATCATCAATTTCTTAGACAGCAAGGGAAACGTCATTCCCGTGCTGGCATGGTACATTCCCAAAGCGGCCACTTCTGAGAGCCACCCGGTGATGATAAGCCCAACAACATTACTCGCGGCAGGATACCTCTACACTTCGTACAGCAAATGCCACTATCAATTTAAACACCCCCAACATGGCTCGGTGTGGGTATTTCGTATCCAAGGCCAATTTCTCATGCCAATCAAAACTCTGGTTGACATTGACGCTATTGGGGACGCGTGGTGCCGGCTTAACGATGTTGAAATTCACCGTATCAACCAGAATTTGCCCACGAACTTTGAGTATGTTGACATTGAGGAATCTCAGAGAAATGTTGTGAAGATGAACCGGCATTTGCACACGTTATTCGCTCATGCTGATCAGACTCAAGTTACTGCCACCTTTCAGAAGTTCTTGTGTAGTGTAGTTGACAAAACACACATCACCCTGGTCGACTGTGGCGAGTGTCGTGAATATGTTACAGAACCTCGGCCTGTGGGTCGCTCCCAATGCTCACAAGGGTATGAGTTAACGTTCTTCGTTGACGTTTTTGAATCCCCCAGATTTCTTCCGGGGAAGTCAACTGAAAGGACGGTCTGCTTTGAGGAAGTCGGTAGTGGGTTTCTCTACTTGCGAAACGTCCAGTATAAACACGGTTGTCTTACTACTTTGCATAAACTTATCAGCGAGGCATCTCGTGAACGCCGCATTGGAAAGGCCCGGGTTATAAAAGCGTCCAGGGCCGAGAAGCTTCTTACCATTACCAGAGAAGATGTGCATACTTGGTTCAAAAACCCCCAAGCACTAAGACCTGTTAAAGCATATTTGGATATTTCTGAGAGAAATCGCCACCTTGATGATGAGGAATTTGATGCTCTTTGTTGGAATAAGGCACATCACCGGGTTGACGTCTCCGTGACCAGCGAAACGGAAGAAACCGCTCGCCCTGATCTAGAGCGGTTCATCGTGAAGCTGTCGAAAAAGCTACTCAGTTCGCTGGGACTCCCCACACAGTTTGCACAGCTTGCGGCGATCCACTTCGTCAACACCCACAATATGATGATTGATTTGCGGCTTAAGGATGATGTTCTGCGGGAGGAAGATGAAAGCTACTCGAATAGAAACTTGTATCTGCCGCTGTACAAGTTTTCTCGACATGTCTCACCGCCAAGTGGTTTCCACACCTTTGGGTGCCTTGTGTCTTACCGTTTAAGTGAGCCTGACCAACAACTTCCCTTCCCCAGACCGGGACATATGGGGGTATTTGTGGGGATCTCGTCTGACGGTTACGAGGTGGTGGATCTTGAAACGCATGAGCATCATTTTGTGATAGACGTCGAGTTCTACCCAGGAATTACCCCCTTGAAATATGAGTACCCTGGGTGGAAGGGCGCTCCTCCGGACCCTAACGGTGCCGAACCTCAGCTGCATCCGTTTCGGACGCCGCGTATGGACTCGATTTCTCGATTGGAGTGGAGGCCATACCCTCACGACGTCACTGTTAACTTTGGCGACTCCATTGCTCGCAATCGGGCGGTTCCAGTAGCGATGTACTTCCGCGGAACTACTGAATCTTTGGCCGATTACACCAACCGAACCGCCTTTGAGCTGGCTATACCCCATAACAAATTTCCAATTAAAGAGATCACCAGCACTCTTCCGGAGACTATCTGGGAAGACGTATTCGCACAGCAACCGAATCTCAGTTTTTAATGATTGCATATGTCCTAAGAGAGCTATTTCATCGCCATTAGCAAGGGCATTTATGTATCTGTAGTCATCGTTTGTAGATAATCCATGACTTAATGAGTGATACTACTTGTGCAAGTCAGAGAAGTCACGTCAGATGGAATAATTTGGCACCAATTTACCCTGAGTTTCTGTAAGTTTATAGTCATTAGCTCGAATAGCGGACTGCTTTAAATTACGGAATTTCCGACATTTCCGATACCGTCAGTGTCGAGAGACGCGCCGCACTGTTATCGCGCCTAACTTTACCCCTACTCTAATTACAATACTCAAGCATGCTCCAACTGAAACAGATATCCAAGGTGCTTACCCAGGGACTTCAGGAAGTGCCTGCCGGGTATGAATCCACCGTGCTTGAGCGGCTGCCTCTCGGTATCTCCCTCCTTTCGCCTGAAGGCCACCCGCTAGCCACCGTCACCAACGAACTGGCGCTCAAACAAGCAGAGATATCTGCCGATAGCCTTCGTGTCCACGGGCTTATTGGCTACCAACACATGGAGCAGCACCCGGACCAGCTGTGGGCGTTGTGTGAGATCGATCCACGGCTCCAGCTCATGGTATCTCGTGTGGCGACGGCTCAGCCTCGGTACCTTGTGGTGTACTACCATTCAGGGTTTCCTCGGGCAGCGGCCAAGCTCAAATTGGATAATATGACTCAGGTGTTAGCCAAAGGGTTAGAGGGATACTAAAGGTTACTTACATAGTGGTGTTTTTTTTTTTGATTTTTGTATTCGTTTATATAATAAAATTCAAGCATGCAGTGGGGAGAACCCGGGTATAGAGCCTCATAAACAATCATCACGGCGTGGGGTACGGGGTCCCGGGGTATGTCAGGTCAGTGATTTTTCACAGAAGTCTCGGGGTACACAAATTACTTCGTCATTTCGACGTCCTCGTCTTCTTCTTCCTCCTCCTCGTCGTCTTCACCGGCGTCGTCGACGTCGTCCATGAGGCTTTCCTCGTCGAACAGCTCCTCCTCGGAGTCGTACCAGAAGTCCTCGTCGACGGGGTCGTGCTCCTTGCTGCCGTCGGTGTTGTTGGCGTAGGCGTGGAGTTCCAGCTCGGGCATGATGAAGTCTTCGGGGATATCTTGCTTCAGGCGTTCGACTTCTTGCAACACCTTCTTTTTGTAGGCGTCGGGGTTCTTGCGCAACTCGACGCTGGCGTCGATGTTGGCCGGCGACGACACGTTAGGGTCCTCGAGCAACGAGATGATCAGGATGAGGACCAGCTCGACCGTCTGGGCCGGGGTCCACGTTTCCGAGTCGGGCTCGTCCAGGGTGGGGTCGCCTCCCTGGTGCAAAATCAGGATGCAAAGGCGGCCATCGCGGTAGATGTTGGGGTGGTAGATGGCGGGGGTGAACCGGAACGTCGGGGGCGAGAACGGGAAGTCGGTGGGGAAGCGCATCTGACCCTTGAAGTAGCCGCCGTGGTACATCGACTCTTTGTTGAGCACCATGATGCCGATGTTCCACAAGAAAATGTTGTCGTCGTCCAACTCGATGTGGAACAGCGGGATCCCCTTTTTGGGGTCGGTAAGGTCCTTGAACTGTCGCTGCAAGATCGCCGCCGCACTCTTCGAGCTCATCTTCGGGTTAGTGGTGGTGGCAGGAAGAAAACGTTGGGTAAAGTTAAAGTGGTGGTGGTCTGTTTTTTTTGGTGTGGTGCGCCCGGCTTTGGGTGACGGGTCAGGTGCGCTAGCGGCAACTAGCGGCCGAGTGCGGGATGCCCGTATTTAGTGGTCACGACAGATGGGGAAGGAACGGCAGCGATGGCCGCGGTTCGGGACAGCCAGTGACTACGGCAACGTGACATACGAATGACTAACCTCACTGACGGTGTCTACAGCGTCATATCAGGGCTTCGTCGGCTCTGGATGGGGCACTGTGGTGGTGTCGAGGTGTGGCCCGGGGGACTGCACCCTAGCCCCAGTTCGCTGTCGCACACCCATGTCACCACTAGCAACGGACTCGCCAGCAAACGATCGGGTCTCGGTTGCGGGCGTTGGTGCTGATGGGGGAGGGGTGAAATGAGGAGTCGGGAAAGAGGGGGGAAAACACGGTGGTAGAACGGTCGCGGCAACGCGTGCCAGCAGATCACAGATGCTGCGTGATCTATATCCTGAAACGGTGTCTTTTAGGAGAGTATTCTCATGGTTCCCATCGATAATTGTGGTGGCGGGACTCCGGCTGACCTGGTGGCAGGTCTTGGCTGATTACTAACGGAAGAGTGATTTGTGCCTGAGCCGCGAACAATTTACCGGAAACGAGCAAAAAAAAAAGAACCGGGGAGGCAATTCGGCACCGCGACGGCAATCGTCGTAAACGCAACCACGCTCCGCTGGAGCGAGCCCTATGCTGTGGCGCATTTCAGGGTAGGTGTGGCCTATGGCGGGTTGCTTTTTCTTTTGTAGTTAATCGGGCGACGGTTGTAGTCAGGGTCCCTGGATAAGCTTCTAGATTATCTGTCGTAACTACTAGCGATCGGTGACTAAACGAATGAAGATTCAAGTTTGACGGTGTTTGGTTTTCTCGCTTATTCCCGATGGTGGAGTACCCGTAGATCCACAGATGCTGGATTCAGGATGAACGCGTTTCTCCATGAACTTTCTGAGTGAATGAAGCAACGGGTTTGTTTCTGTCATTAACAAGAATTGTTGAATTTGACTTACACTTCCATAAAATTTCTTTTATGATGAAAACAGTACTATGATCAGAGGCTTATCTTACGACCAATACGACTTTATCTATAACCTGATTACCGGTAGTGCCGTCAATTAGTGCATATACCCACTTCCCTAATCGTTTTGATCGCTGAGATTCATCCCCTAGATCTTAGTCACAATATTCTATCATCGCGAGACACTATAAAAACGACCAAAAGACGAGCCCTATGACTCACCTAAGACTACTAAACCTTCAATCATATATTCTATATTATCCAAGTCACCCAAATGCTTGTGAAATTCTCTCTAATCTCCGTTAGTGTCTAATCTCCGTTGGTGACCATCCCGTGGCTAAGTCGCACACTATCATCTCAGATCTCACACCCCCCACACTCTCATACTATACCCACCATGCTTCGAGGTATTTGCGGCCGCCACGCCGTAAATCGGATTGCGAAACGGTACAATTCCATCTTGGGGATTGACTTGGGCACCACCAACCTGGCAGTGGCAGTAAATGTCGCTGGCCAGCCCCGTATCCTCGATAATGAAGATGGCGCGGCTACCACCCCCTCCGTGGTGGCGTATACGGACTCAGACGTACTTGTGGGCGCTGCTGCTAAACGCCAGACCCTTATCAACCCTCGCAATACCTTTTTCGCCACCAAACGGCTCATCGGGCGTAAGTTTTCTGACGCCGAAGTGCAACGCGATATTGGCCATGTCCCTTACAAGATCACGTCGGACGCTGCTGGTGATGCTGTGTTAGAAACCGATAATGGTCGTGAATTGACTCCACAAGCCATTGGCGCCGATATTCTTGTGAAGATGAAGACAATTGCCGCTAACCATGGCTACACTACATCACGAGCAGTGGTGACGGTCCCCGCTTATTTCAATGACTCTCAACGACTGGCAACTCGGGAACTGGGTAAAGAAGCCGGATTAGAAGTGGTTCGAGTGGTTAATGAACCGACAGCGGCGGCATTAGCCTATGGGCTCCGTCAAGAGAATGATGGCATTGTCGCAGTGTTTGACCTTGGTGGGGGTACATTTGACATTTCTATCCTTGATATTGAGCTGGGGATCTTTGAAGTACGTGCTACCCATGGTGATACACACTTGGGGGGTGAGGACTTCGATATTCGCATCACTAACCTTATCATCGATCAAATCAGGCTGGAGCTGGGCGTTGACGTTTCCGGTGACCGCTTGGCGGTGACTCGTATCAGAGAGGCGGCAGAGAAGTGTAAGATGGCGTTAGACTCGCTGGCTGAGTATACGGTGGAGTTGCCATTTATCACCGATAAGACCCACTTCAAGGCCACCATAACCCAAAAACAACTACACGAATTATGCCAACCGTTGGTGGACAAAACTACTGACCCTGTGAAGAGATGTTTACGCGACGCTGGCCTTAAACCTAAGGATATCGACAAGGTATTGCTTGTCGGAGGGATGACGAAGATGCCCCTCGTGCGCGACCATGTGGCTAAGCTCTTCCAGTGTACGCCTCTGAGCGCGGTGAACCCTGACGAGGCCGTGGCGTTGGGTGCTGCCGTCCAAGGGGCGATCCTTGCTGGTGAATTGAAGGACGTGGTGTTGCTTGATGTGACTCCGTTAACGCTTGGTATCGAGACCTACGGGGGTATTTTCTCTCCCTTGATTCCCAGAAACACTGCCGTGCCTTGTTCGGTAAACCTGATGTTCTCTACTGCCGTCGACGGCCAGACCGGGGTCGAAATCAACGTGTACCAAGGCGAGCGCCAATTGGCCAAAGATAACAAGCGCATCGGCAAGTTTACCCTTGGCGGCATTCCGCTGGCGCCGAAAGGGGTGCCGCAGATCTCCGTCGAGTTCAAAATCGACCCCGACGGGATCATCAACGTCAGTGCCACCGATAAGACCCCTACCCCCGATGGCACTCCCGCGGCTACCGATAAACTGGCACTGATCCAGGTGCTGGTGGACAACTCGCTCACCCCGGAAGAAGTGGAAAAGCTTGTGCTGGAGTCACAGGCCCACGCCACCGAGGACACCCAGTGGCGCCAGTTGTACGAACACTGCTCACGAGCCGACATTTTGCTCCAAGAGACTAAGGACTTCGTTGCTCGCTTCGGCCATCTTATGGACCCGGAACAACGCCAGGCGATTGAAGGCCACATGGCGCTGATCCAGGCTAAACTTGACGATGTTCGTGTTCATGGCAAAATGATGTCGGCGCAAGTGATCAACGACGAGCTCAACCTCATGCAACGGATATGTCTCACTGAGGTTCAGAAGATTGCTCTGGACCAGCAGAAGTCCCTGCAAGTGAAAGGCGATGAGTAGTAGTCGCTACCCTCCACCTAACGACCCCCTCCCTGTATGTAGTGCAATCATTAATGACCAAGAAAAACTATGTTTCCTAATGATAGGAGTCCTATTGTTTTGCCAGGTAATCCTAAGCGATGACAACGATCTTATCTCTACTCAGTAAAGAGCATTCTCTTCCCAGACATGGCATCAATTTTACGTCTACAAATAAACAAATAGTAGTAGCAAGTAGAGAGCCGTCCCATTTCTGAAAGTACGCCATGATTGTGTCCACAGTGCTGGAACTCCGGATTTGTTTCGTGGGATGCCACAAAGTGAGGCGGCATCATTTGGACCACGGGAATGCCTGGTAACCTTAACCTGCCTAGCCGAGCAGGGAGCTTAAAGTATATCCCTGAAACATGTACTCGGAATCAAAAGCCTATACCTTATGTACACACAAAACGCCACAAAAGCCTTAATTCAGCCACGAGGAGCGTCGTACCACGACGATCTTTCCCTGATCTCGGAGCACCCCCTTTCCCCAGATCAGTGCCGAACGCCAACAAAAGTTGACGATGAGAAAGGGCGGAGAGTTGCCATCACAACCACGGCCCCGAATGAGCCGCAAGCGATGCACGTTGTGAAAGTATAGTTAGAGTTAGTAGGTTTAGCCAGCTAGAGCGTGCTGGTGGACCACCACGCGGGGAGGAAAAGGGCAGCTTTTAGACCTAGCTTATGGAACCTGGGTTACGAGGTCTCCGCACCTTGTGTACATAATGCAGACCGGTTGCCGATTTGAACGCGCAGGGTCGCGTTTGCGGAAAGGGCAAATTACATGGTATTCGACGGGGACAATCGCAGATTTAAAGTCATAGTTATAATTTTCGAGACCACAACAACATATCCCGATGGTTAAATTGGCAAGTTTCCCCGTCCAACCCCCTAGATCACTCTCCTGACCCTAATTTGGCAGTCCCGGGGCACCTAACTGCTTCACCGCGCAGCGCTTGTTACTACATCAAGCAGCAAAAATCATACGGTAGACGTAAGCTATAATCCCGATCACAACTTGTAAATACGAGTCCACGGGCGACCCACATGCCCTGAAGCACGTTGATCTAGTGTGTTTTACAAATCTTCATTTATCATAAATTTTCCATAGTTTTTAATCCGTTGTTAATTAATGCTTGGCTGGGCCCATTGCGGTGATCATCATCACCAGGGAAGCGTCGGTCGTCACCAGCGTAAATAAAGTTTTTCTGTGTTGGCGACGCCTGCCGGAAATAATAAACATTCCTTCCCTTGGCGAGCATCGGGTATTTCCCCCCTGAACCCCACGATTTAGCGACAGTGTGGTGCCCCTGGATCGACACGCGTACGCTGCCGTCACTGGCAGACACCCACACTTGTCTAGTTGCAAAAACTAATAGAAGAAATCCTTGCCACTTTTACTGCCTGATTTATCGCCTCGGAAATACTTTCTCCAGAGCTACAGATATCAATGAAGCAGCACACGTAGGCCTTGCAGATCACTTATGCAAGCTCAATAGGGAACAATCAATGATCGCCAGGCGGGTATATAACAGTGGTGATTCGGGACAATATATTCCCCGACCGATTACTCCCCTCTCGCCTTACCGATGGCACATACTAAGAAACTGGTCGTCGACCCCATCGCTCCTACTGCGGAGGAGCGCAGCGACTTTGAGTTGTCGGTGTTTGCCGCGATCGTCGCCGCTCTCTACGTGGCGGGGTGGGCGCCGTGGGCGCCGCCAGCACTGATCGCGGTCGACGTGGCGCCGTACCTCCCGCTGCTGTGGGTGGCCGGTGCTGCCCCCGTGTACAAACAGGTGGTGACAGCATTAGCACTGAAGACGGCGACGTGGTTGTTCACTAACGTGGTGCCAGCAGCCCTTGTGACTAAAGCGGTGACGGCGGTTATCACCCGCCTTCCGACACTGGCGGAGCCGGCAGTGCCGGTAGCACTCCCGCCGCGGCGGTGGCTGGCAGTGGGGGCTCAGATTGTCCCCGGCATCCGTCGCCGCGCCTCGAGCGCCGTCGCCCTTTTCAGCATTGACGCCTTAGCTGACCGCCGCTCGCTTGTGCTGGCAATTGTGCCGTTATACCGCCGACATGGGCACATTGACCCGTTGACGCTCGTCAAGCTGATCCAGCACGTAGGCGGCGCCGACTCCGAGTACAAGAACATTGTCGAGGCGTTTGTTCGGGCCAACCTCCACTCCCACCATGAGCGTCCGTCGCGGTTTTTCAACTGGCTTTTGCGCTACCATCGCTCAGTGGCGCAGGTCAATGCCGCTGCTGCTGAGGACGCTGCCGTCGCCGTGAGTTTGCCGGCAGCTCACGACTATGCTGGTATTGTCAACGTGCTCAGAGCATTCGACGAGCTCCCGTATTTGGCAATTAACTTCCGCCAAGTATTACCATATCTCGTGGCTGCTGACGGTCCTTTAGGTTCCGTACCGTCATTTGCCAGTCAATTCCATGCCATTGCTGTGCTCACTGACTTCAATTTATTCTTGACCCTCCAGATCTATGATGCCAACTTGTGGCAGCTCTGTCCTGCCGACGTGCCGGGAAAACCGTCGGCACTGGCGCGCGCCACTCACCAACTCCGCGACGGTTCCGAACCCAGATCCACTTACGATTTAGACAACTTAAAGGCGGAATGGCTCCACCAGCCGTCACCCCAACTTGATTTCACGGTGGACGACGGCATTGCTACCATCGTGCCTCAAGTGCAATGTCCCTTGTGTGAAGAACGCGTGACTAATGCCGTCACTACTGATAATGGCACCGTGTGCAGCCGCGATTGCTTCGACAGCCACCGCGGCGTGGGCAGCGACCCCGTGGCCAACCCAACATTGGACTACGTTATCACTGTCATTGATCACGCGAACGATAAGCCTCAATGGGTCGCAGGCGTTTTGGTTTAAACCCCGATGTCGGCACTATCTTTATGTTTTCAGTAAAGGGCAGAGTGGGGGCTTATAAAATAGTCGATTTGTTCGCGACAGGCGTGCAGCGCCCGCGAGGGGGCGTTGCTGGCGCCGACACCATGATTAAATGGCTCGCCCGGGTCTCGAGACCCATTGGGATCGCCATCCGACCCGATACGTATAATAAAATGCACAAGCCACCATCACTTCAGGGTAACTGTCTCTGGTGTTTATGCGGTGTTGCCGTTTGCGGTAAGCGACGGCGACCGATGCACCCTTAATAATGCGCTCGCACAGAGTTGCGCGCAATTATTGTACACAACCCTATCGGTTGTTGCTCTTTCTGCCTCGCCAGCAGCGACTCAGCTCTAGCGCCCTGCTTTATATCCCATCTAACCGTTCGTACCCGTCAGGCATCGGAGGCTTAGAGGCCTAGGCGGAACCGCATTCTTTATTAAAATTTAAGGTAAAGGCAAGTGGCAGGGCTTAGGCGGCTTACACCACGAACTATCATGATTAAGCGAAGGTTCAATTTGTGGAGGCTTTTGCTTCGTAAAATAATTCCGTTTCCGTGTAGGTAGCATTCTCCGACCCACCTTCAGGTGTTACAAAGACACTTGATGTAACTCAAAAACACGTCCCGCCTCGCTAGCAGCGACGAATCTCAGCGATGTGCTTTCTGTATCCCAAAGACGGCTTTGACCCATCGATTGGCACCACAAACCTCGACGATTATTATTGATGGCTCATTATCCTTACTTGACTAATACAAAAAACCAAACAATCGTTTCCGTTGACGTCAAAGCCGATGTAGCACTTCTATGAATATTACATACGACAAACCATCCTAGATTGACTACAACATGGGAAACTCTGTCAGCTTTGGCTTGCGCAAGCAGCACCAGAGTTTATCGCTTAAAGAAGATGGGATATGAGGCTTACGTCACGAGCCGACGCTTGGCGGCACCGCAATCTCTAAAGAAAAAAATTACCCTGCTGCTGCCGACGCCATGACGTTCGCTCATCGACGTCGACTCACCTATTTTCTTCGCCAGATATTGTTCGGTGCCTGCAGACTTTTCTTTCGACGATTTCATTTCACCTTCCGTCGTGAATTTTGCCCGCAACGTCATCATGGGACATGCCGCATGCGAATACAAAAAAGAAAAATTTTAAATCTTATTTAATCACTTCGCCGAGCTTTGTGTCGCATAATATCGGGGCATGGGATATTTTAGATATGGGTGCTTTGTGACTGGAACTCGGCGTTGTTGCCTCGGCCAGCTTTGTGCCTTGCGTAGGCGTCTACAGCGACATCGATGCGTCTCGCTAGTTTTCGGGTATTTCATGTCGTCGACCAAAGATCGGCGGCTTTATAATATTCCCCGACATTGACTCGCTCTCACTGGTAGCAGGCGTCAGTCAGACAAGGCATGATTATTATATTACAATTATGTGGCCGAGAGAAGGGAAGGAAACGTATCTATTAACCCTCAGGCCAAAAAATTCGCCAGAACAACATTATCTGCTGGCCATGTTTTTATCGAGAGCGGCGAGGAACGCCGGGTTGGGCTTTGGCATCGCCTCTGGTCTTGCCAGGGGAGCCTCGGGAGGGTACACCGGATCACCCGTCAGCTTTAGCGCGCGGTTCTCCAGCTCAAGGTTGTAGATGCGGTCGAACGACTCCTCCAACTTCTGCTTTAGCTCTTCGCGCAGAAAGCGGTGGTCGTCGTTCTCGATGTCGTCGTAGTTGGTGAGCTGGGTCGCTGTGATCATGTCGGTGAGGCCGCTGATGTTCAGCAGCACCAGGTTCATCAGGTACCGGTTGAACCGCTTCAGACCTCTGAGCGGCGGCGTGGCAGAATTGGCAAACTGCTCGAGCAAGTTGTGATTATAGCCGTCGTACGAGGGTGGGGGAAGGTTGTAGCTTTCGTCGTAAGGCGCCAGCCCTGCTGGCGACTTGAGGCTCTCGCTGTAGCTGCGACCGTGAGTTTTATCGTGTTGTTCTTCAACCACGGTAAGCAAGCCTAAGGAGAGCCCGTTCGACATCCGCTTTGATTTGCGCAGAGTAGTGTCGACGTCAGGTGCTGATTGTGTCAGCAGCGGGATTGAGTTGCGTTTCTTCGACGCCAGCGTGTGGAACAGTTTGAGCGAAAACGGCCGGTCCAGCTTATTAGGTTTCGGCAGCGACACCACCAGCAGCGTCAGCGTTTGCTCGCCAAACGAGTCGCGCTCAAGCTCGTTGAGGAACAACCGGTGCATCTCCTGGACGGCACCGATGTCGTCGGCGAACTGGCGGAATATCTCGAGTTTCTCCTGGATCTCGTCGATGCTAGTGACATTTGCCGTCAGCTGGTGGTACTTGACAAAGTACTGGACGTTGGTGGAAAGCCCCTGGAGTTTGTCGACCAACGAGTCCAATTGCGACGGTTGTTTCCGCTCAACGGCATTCAGAAGGGTAAGGACGTCCTCGTGTTCGCGACCAGGGGTACGTGGGTAGAGGTGGTCCAAATCAGAGAACATCTGGCCAAAAGTATCGGTAGTGGTGTTAAACTGAGTGAGGATCAGACGTAGTTGGGTCAATTTGGCCTGAAACGGCAACCATTGCGGCGAGTCGTGGTGGTCGTCAATTTCAAGGTGGTCCATCAATTTATAGACAAAGAAATTAGAACTTGACGCCGCCTCTATCAGAAGTAATTGACACACAAGCACTTTGCGTAGCTGATTAAACTTGTTGATCAAAAACACCACTTCGTCCACCGGTCCCGTCTTTTGCGGCACTTGGATCTTCCACTCTGCCCACAGCGGCGCCAACACAGCCAAGTTGATCAGGTTGATGGTGCAGTACTGTTCAAACACGTCGGCCAGCACCATCGGCATCACTTTGGCGATCAGCGTCACTAGATTAAACGCCAAAAAGTTTATGGCCCCCACTAAGTGGTGGTGGAGACGGCTGCGGGAACTCTCGCTCGACTCCTCGCCAAGGAAGCCAAACTGTTCATCGTGTTTCAATGCCAATAAGTGCGAAATGATTTGTTTGTTGATGCGGTAGTTGGCAGATAAGAATTGGGTGACAATGCTTAACGTTTGGGTCAGTGCCACTGCCATCGCGATGCGGCGGTACTTGATGATCTTTACTGCCTGGAGTAATAGCACGTGCACCAATGAAAGGTGTTTTCTCGTCAATGGCTTCCCAAAAAGCGGTTGCTTAAGCATCACTAATATGAGCAGAATCACCGTCAATATCCGCCCCAGCCGGTACTGTTGAGGTACGGTGATGGCATATGACGGCTTACACACCACTTGGGGAGTATCGGCTACTGCCAGCACCGGTATTAGCGGCAAAGTGACGGGGTGGGCCACTGGCTGGGGTGGCCGCGGTAGCAGCGCCAACGCCTGGTCGTTCTTCAGGAGGATCATGGCATCGTCAAGCAAGTTCAGCACGATGAGCGAGTACCTGAATTGTTCCCAAAACTGGGGGCACTTGTGGTGGAGGCTCAAATAGTGACGGATGAAAAGGGAGTAATTGTGGTTGTTCTGTTTAACCAACGGCACCCCGTACTTGTAGTGGTAGTACTTGAGGTCAAACTGTCGAGGGTGAGTGGGTAACGAAGGTGCTGGTGGCTCGGGTACCCTCCCGATGGCGGGGGGCGGCTGGAGGTCGTCGATGCCCCAGTCCAGGGCCTCCCCCGCCTTGTCCCGCGAAAACACCCGTTGGAGTTGGGCAAACATCAGTCAGGTGGTCGACAACTCCAAAGATACACGCGCCTGGCTCCCTCAAGAATTGTCACGCCTGGCCTGGAGGATGTTGTTTATCGGGTGATGATTGGCAGGGCTACCTGCACTGGGTTTGTTTTTCCTGCGATGTACGGAGGCGCATATGATTTGTGCAGGGGCCACCCCCGTACCCCAGATGGCCCAAGTGGTGGTAATTGCAGGCCAAGTAAGGTAGACTTTAAGCTATTTTATAGTTTTGTTGAAATTCATAGATTGATTGTTACTACTTAGGTTGATTATTTCCTTAAGTCTACGCTTGCTAGACCCTATTTTTGTGTGCCATGGAGATGACCGAGGCCAACAGTCAACTGCGATCGGTTATTTACTGTGCGAACCAAACCGATAAAGGCTAATTAAACATTCGCGGATGGCGTGAGCGTACATAACTTAACCAAACGGCGCTAAAATGGCCTCCAACATTGCCCCGCTGGAAGTTACCCATGTGAGTAGTCGAGTGTACTTTTGTAAACTGGCAGTGATTTCTTATCGCATATAACTCAAAATCCAGCTTTGTTTACATTACGACTTCACCGATTTAAAGTATAATTTCTTGGACTTAGAAGCAGAGTCGTGTGTAAGCGACTGTGTCACGCTTATGATCAACAATGCGGATGTGAGGCTAAGCAGATTCGAGGCTAGTTCGAGACTGTTTAATGTACTTGAGAGAAGTAGAAATTTAAACCACTCATCTGATCATGGTGCCTAAGTATCCTTAAACTAGATCAACCTCACCTGAACCCTCCTTTCGCGTGATCAACTAGACTCAATGGACAATGAACAGTAGATATGTAGAACAACCATCACCCTTTGCTTGAATTTTAATGAGTGATCAGAAAACAAACCATTCTCGAAACTTTATCTCAACTGAATATTGAGCCGCCTTTTGGCAATGTCATCTTTATCATCTACAATGGTTTGAGGAAACGTGATTATCTCTTTATTAAGTAGCATTAAAACCCCATGGAAAACCAGTCGGTGTCAAACTTCGTGTTTTGCATGTTGCCTTCGGGGATGAGGTTAATGTCCATGTCCGCCAGCGCATCCATGGGCATCAAGTCGAAACTGATGGCGTCGCCGCCAAACTGGTCGCTCAACAAGTTAAAGTCAGCGTCCAGCGATACCACACCAGCTCCAGTTTGCAGCAGCGGCGGCGGCTGTTGGTTGCCCGGCTGAGACCCTGGCGGTTGCAGCTGGCGCCCGTCCAGGCTGATGACCAGCTTATCGTCCAGCGGCGGCTGTTGTTGCGGGGGCACTGAAGGATTCCCGGGACCGCCGGGGCCTCCAGGAGCGGTGTTAGCCCGAGCATTGGCCGGCATCAGTTGCTGAGGTTGATTGGCCCCAGGGTGAGGTCCTTGCGGTTGCTGATGAGCTTGAGGTCCACCTCGAGGTGCCAGATTAGGCCCTTGATTAGGTGCACGTCCCGCCGCTTGTTGTGGTTGTTGTGCCAAATTAATGGAGGCATTATGCTGCTGCTGAGGACGACCACCAGCTTGGGGACCTCCCTGAGGTATTTGTGGTTGAGACATCACTCTCTGGGGTCCGCCGGGAGGACCTGCTGCCGCCTGTGGACCTTGCTGTTGCTGAGGACGTTGCATCATATTAGGTTGGCCCATATGAGGCGTTTGACCGCCAGCCTGAGGAGGGCCCAGGTTAGATGGAGTCATCATCGGTTGGTTAGCTTGGCCCTGAGGTCCTGGTGCCGGTCCACCCGGCTGTCCCGGTTGATTAGGCCACTTATATCGCGGCTGAGGCTGTTGCCCTGGCCCTGGCTGCCCTGGCCCTGAACCTGGTGGCGGCTGAGGATGACCAGGTTGTTGTGGTGGTTGTTGCTGAGGACCCGGACGCCCCTGGTTGGGTGGCTGGGAGAATGCTTGCATTTGCGGCGTGGGCGGTTGTGCCATGTGTCCCAGTTGCGGCGTGCCTTTCGGGTAGTGTCCCATTTGAGGGATAGGCAGTTGTTTAACCTTACGGTTATTGGTAGGTTCAGCAGTAGTAGGGGTACCATTAACAGCAGCGACAGACGAGGCCGCCGAGGGGGGACGCATCGGTGGCTGCTGTGGCTGTTGCTGCTGCGGTGGAGGTTGAATGTGTTGTTGTTGTTGCTGTTGTTGTTGTTGTTGTTGAGGGGTCATTTGCGGTGTAGGCGCCATGCCGGGCGGTCCTGTCGACGGCTGGTGAGGCATTATCGGTCTCTGGTCGGCCCGCTGCGGTTGGGGGTAATTTCGGTGTTGGGCGACGGGGGTCTTCTGTGGCGGTCCCATCTGTGGAGTCACTCGGGGATTGGGCTGGGCCGTGGCCATCCGGTGGAACATCTGGTTCATCAGCGGGTTTACCAGCAGCTGGACCAGCCACAACAACTGCCACCACTGGAGGAGGAATTCCCGCTGGCTGGAGTCCGAGCTTGCTTGAGCAAGGCTCTGGCGCTTGCACTCGTGCAACAAGCTGTTGGCGGTGTCGTGGTGGCCCTGGTCGACGAGGTACTGGTATAGGTGGATCAACAACAAGTCATGGGGGTCCTGAGGGGATACCGGCGTGGGTCCGTTCATCGGATAGTCACAGAGGCCGCGGGGTGGTGAGGGGGAAACGTCGGGAGCGTCGTGATGAGAAATTTCCGGAAGGGTGTTTGCAAGCGGTCAGTGACGAGAAACAGTGTGTTTGAGTGTGGAGTGTGTGCTGTGCCCAAAAACCGTCTCTGAAAAAATATCCACCTAACGACACGAGGCAACCCCAACAACGAGGTGGTCTTTATAGGGAAAAAAATCGTAGGGAAAAGTAATTGAATGTCACGGAAAATATATACGCTAATCATCGTTTGTTTATGCCTGAGTGTATGCCTACGGTAGGGGGGAGTACAGGGAGGCGCTGGTGGCCAGAGTCGCTAAGGCGAGGAATGCTGCGAGGGGGCGAGACAGAGGCTGACATCGCGAAATTGAGAGTGGGGAGGGGGGAGCGAAAATCGCATTTACGGGCGGGCTTTCGGAGCAGATACCACTAGCTGGACTACCACTAAAACTAACTGATTTCCAAGGGCAACACTCTTTTTTTTAACCAATCTTGCTTTGAGGCGGGCAACATCCCCCACCAATTGTTCGACGCCTGGGTCGTCTATATCGCGGCGGGGTGGGGTACACGGCGCGCTCGTCGTCCGAGGGGGGAGTGGCGTCAGTGCTATTGGTTGGGATGAGGGAGGAGGCCAGGCAAGGAGGCGGCGATGACCTAATCGCTGGAAAACTCGTCATTCATAAGGTCTTTTTACGTCACACTACTGCACCTCCGGCTATCTCAGACCTGGTGCCTGTAGTCACCCTATCTTGTCGATCGACGCGCCGCTCGGCATTTAATCACCACACAAGACCATCAAGCGGTGACAATAGTAGATAACGAAGTGGGGTAGGACCAATGACCAAAATAAGTGTGGCGTGAGTGAATTTTCGTAAGTTTCGTAAGTTTATGGGTATGCTATGGGGGTTTTTATATGCTAGGAGACGGGTTTAATCAAGACACGGGTCGGGGCCCGAGTCATCGGGGTACTGGCCCAGGTCGTGCGTGGGCACCATTTCGTCGCCTTGGCGATGGAAGTAGATGCCGTGGACCATCACCGTGTCGAGCTTGGGGAACCGGTGGGAGATGTATTTGATCACGGGACGGAGCTGGTGGATAATGTATGTGGTCACCCACTGGTCGAGATCTGGCCGCAGGCGGCACCCACAGCTATCGTCGTCGTGGAACCCGTGGTGCAATGTGTATGGCATCCCCTTGTAGATGGGGTATTGGTCGACTTGGTACACTTTCTCCTTGATGGGAGTACACACCTCGCGGTCGAACTGGAGCTTCATAAGCATGTAGCCAATGACGAGGTAGAAGGTGCTGTCGTGGTCGATGGGCTCGTCAAAGTTCTTTAATGGGTAGAACTGGCGGTGGATGCGGTCAAGCACCTCGGCACACCCAGAACACCGGCAAGTGTGGAGCCATGACGAGTAGAACTCGGGCTTATAATAGACAAACAGCGTCAAGAAGTCAGGGAGCACAAGTTGCCGCAAGTTGTTAGTGATCACCAGGTCGCGAGGGAACAGCAGACAGAAGAATGCCTCCACAAGCTTGAAGTTGAGTTTATTGATGAACTCGGACAGCATGCGGTCGGTGTTATCGAACATCTTGTACCCGGGAGTGGCAAAGTCAACAAACACCCGTTTAACTCCCACCAACGTGCGTAAGAACTCACCAATGGGAGTCAACATGCCTTCAAGCAACTGGTGGGGCCGGAGCCATTCCGAGTCGCTGAAGTTTTCGATCTCGACGTTCTCGAGGTTGGGGAGCCCGCCATGGCTCAGAGAGTAGGCGGCAAGGTCACGGAAGAACTCAGCAAAGCACAGACAGTCAGCAGCGCGATGACGGAAGCAGTCGATTTTAAAGTGGAGACGGTGAAGCGTGGTGAGATCAATCTTATCGGTGACGGTAGCGAAATCGAGACGGACATCGCCGCTTTCGTTACCGTCATGGTCAAAGTACAGCGAGTCGTTGTGTACATGGAATAACGTGAACCCCTTAAGTTGGAGCCGGGTGTCTCTATGAGCAAGCTTTAGCAGTCGTAACACTTTGATCCCCTGGTGGTGGTTAGTGTTGACTGTAAGCGTGAATAGTGAATGCATGAACTGGTATTGGGGCCGGCCAAGATCAAGATCAAACATCGATTCCTCCTCGGGCATCAACAATAAGTTGGTGAGACAGGGAGGCACCATCGGCAGTATAACCTGATTGTAATCAGTGACAAATAACTTAAAGATGTGGCGACGAACGTTTTCGTTGCGCAAAAACAGTTGGAGTTTGGTGAGCCCCTGGTCGTATTCCATAAATGTGATGTGGAGGAACTCCACCGCCTCCAGCCACTTGCCAAAGAAATCAAGGAGATGGCCCTGGATCTGTTTCACGTCTTCGTCATAATCAGGACACTTGTCAAACACAAATATTTTCACCAACTGGATCAACTCGGGACTGTAGTGGAGACTGGCGATAAACCGGCGCAAATTGGCTCGGGAAAAGATAAACGCCAGGTCCATCAGCTTAATGCCACATTCACGGATATAGTGGTGTGAATCGTCAAACCGTCGGGCAAACTCGCCGTCGAGAGCCACGGTGACGCGCCGGTAGAGCCGCCTCCGAGCCACGGGGTAGAGTTGATGGCAGCACTGTTGGAGATTGACCAAATCAAACTGGTCGACGTATTCACACACGAGAGCCAACACCTCCTGGGGGAGTCCGAGCAACGGACTCAGCTGATAGCCAGAGTTGCCGGCGGCGATCAGCTGTCGGCAATCGCCGCGGTAGTCGTCGATGTCGGAGACGACACCGTCGGAACCGCCAATAAACTCCATCAACGGCAGCCTTAGTATGGGCACCATCCGCTTGCTTTTGGCCATGGCGCCCAGAGAAGTTTTTTTAGCCTAGCGGAGGTGGTGGTAGTGGGTGACGATCGATCTCGTCGCTTGCTTCTCCGCATGTAGGAACGCAGCTAATATATCGCTCGCCAGCACCCGCGGAAGGCTCCTAGTTACCAGAAATGACGGCTCCGTCAAAGAAAGACCACCAGCACGCTCATTGGGTGGGAAGCTTGAGCTGGGTTTAATTTTTCAGTTTAGGGGGGTGATCAATCATAAAGATTTGGTATGATGGCGCGTAGCTTTGAGGTCGTGGTTACATAAAGCTGCTTGCCTGTCACCGCTTTATGAATACTAATGCATTGCTCGTGAAATTGGTGGGCACATGAGCCCTGGCACGCGTCTGGTTTCTGCCCCTATTTTGGCCGGTGGCCGGCGCGCGCTTTGGTAATCGCCACCCAAAAAGTAAGATTGTGAGCCCTGTACGATGCCCACGCCCTTCCCCTATAGAAGCCTTTTACCTCCGCCGTGATCGCCACCAATATGAGACAATAATCCCACATGAAAATTGCATATCGCCCATCACGGCACAGCGCAGCTCTCGCTTCGCAATTGCCACAATAGTAAACGCTTTTCGTACTCGGGTGACCGCGTGAAATATAGGGGTAACGGGCCCCATCATCTGCTCTCGACCTACATAATTCTTGTCAATTTCTACTATACGTTCCCCCATCGTTCGGTGTCTTCCGTGTCTGTTATATACACCAATTCCCCTCGTCTGCAATCCCCCCCACTCCCCCATTGAATGGATAGGGATCTTTTCGTCGCCCTTATACGCTGTGTGGTGTTCGACGTGCTGATCCGGGTCACCTTGGCCTTTGAGCGATTGATGCTGCCCCTGCCCCGGCCCCGCCGACGAGCCCGCTAACCTTCCCCAGTTTCTGGGGTAAGATGTGACGCCGACGTCGATACGAGATGATCGTTGTCTGTTAGCGATTATTTACCTCACCGGCAGCGGGTGGTCCGGAGGCGATCCACGCCCTGTCGCCGCATTGGGCGAAGAGGATCGACCACCTGCGTATGCCACGATCACCCCCAACGCCTAGACACTTCTTGCATTCACCACACTATTTATTTACCGTCATATAGATCATCAATCAATTATACTTCGTCATTTCCACTGCCGTCTTAGAGCATCAAATTTCTCGGCGAGCGTCTCGTCATGTCAATTAAGACTTCTAAGTTGGTGTTGGCACTCTTGGCATGTCTGCATCCACGATCTCTACACCGTTGTCAATCTTTCTATTCTTCGACATCACTCATTCCATTCGATAATTACTAGAGCTAAGTGTCTGATAATAAGCCATAAATTGTCTCAATAGTCGGGCATGTTTTTGGGAGGTGACGAGCCTCATACCCATTAATATACTCCTTACAAATATTTGATCGTCAACGTTTCATTACCATAGAACTAATCATTACTTACAACTTGTTGCCAAGGTTGACGTGGACCGCCTTGGCCTGGGTGTAGATCGACAACCCGTATTCACCAAGCTCACGACCAACACCAGACATCTTGACCCCACCGAAGGGGATGTGGCAGTCCAGGTCGTTCGACGAGTTGATCCACACCATCCCGGCTTCGATGTCGGCGGCCATCTGGTGGGCCACCGTCAAGTCCGAGGTGAAGATCGCCGCCCCTAACCCGTAGTAGGTGTCGTTGGCAAGGGTAAGCGCCTCTTCGTCCAGCGAGAACTTGCCCACCGACACCACGGGCCCGAAGATTTCGTCCTTGACGATCGACATTTCCGGCTTGACGTCGGCGAAAATGGTGGGCTTGATGAAGAACCCCTTGTCCAACCCTTGGTCGGTGTTGGCTTCACCACCCAACACCACTCGGGCACCTTCCTTTTTCCCGGCTTCAAGGTAGCCGAGAATCTTGTCACGCTGTTGCTTCAGCACCTGGGGACCCACCACCACTTCGTCGTTGAAGATCGACCCTTGCTTGTACTTGTCCTTAACGTGAGCAGCAAATTGGGTCAAGAACTTGTCATAGATCAGCTCGTGGACGTACACTCTCAGCGTCGAGCAGCACACTTGCCCTTGGTTAGACATGATACCCACAGCAGCCCATTTAACGGCCTGGTCCAAGTCGGCGTCGGCTCTGATGATAAGAGGCGACTTACCACCACATTCCAAAGTGACGGCCTTTAAGTTAGTGGCAGCAGCCCTTTGGATGATTTGGCCGGTAGCAGTGGAACCAGTGAAGGCGATCTTGTCCACTTGCATGTGTTCCGAAAGCGCCTTACCGGCGACACCACCGAACCCAGAGATGATGTTGACCACCCCGGGAGGGAAGCCGGCCTTCTTAATCAACTTGGCCACGTACAACATCGACAACGGGGTGATTTCTGACGTCTTCATCACCACGACGTTACCGGCAGCCAAAGCGGGACCAAGCTTCCACGCGGCCATGGCAATGGGGTAGTTCCAAGGGATAATTTGACCACAAACCCCGTAAGGTTCGTGGATGGTGTAGGCAAGCTTTTTGGGGTCGTTTTGGATCACTTTCCCCTGTACCTTGTCGGCCCAGCCGGCGAAGTAGCGGATGCAATTGGCCAGCTCAATCACGTCCAAAATGGCGTTTTGGGCTCTGGGCTTACCCGAGTCCCAGGCTTCGAGCGCCAGCAAAAGCTCGCGTTCTTCGTCCATCAATTGGGCGAGCTTATTCAACATCTTGCCCTTCTTAGCCCCCAGCACTTTACGCCATTCCTTAAACGCCTTTCTCGCCGCTGCGACGGCGATGTCGACATCTTCGGCCCCGGCCTCGTAGACGGCGCCGTTGACGTCGCCGGTTTCGGGGTTGATCAGATCAAAAGTCTTCCCCAGCTTCAGCTTGACGAACTCGTTATTGATGAAGAGCCCCAGCGGCTGTTGGTACTTCAACCCATTGGGCAAAGTGACTTCGTATTCGAGGGGCAAAGACATGGTATTCCAACGGAAAATGGTGGGGGAGGGGGGTGGTTTCTGCAGCTATTTATACTGCTTCGTTTAAGGAGACCGACGGGTGCATTAAGCCGAGCGTAAGGAGGGGCGAGGGGGTGAAAAGTGAAAAATGGGGTCCTTGGTGACTTTAGCGGTTGAAATTGGTAGCTACGAATACGTGATAGCTTAGGGAGCCGTTACGATCGGTTTACGAGCCCCAGTTTTGCAATTGTGGTGGCGCCACCACCCATTTTCACCGTGGTCGAGGCGCCTCGACATGCCCAAATAGGCAATCCGATCCCGCGAGTGGACGGCCACCGTTGGCGGCTAGACAAAGGGCGATAACGCCCGCAGCCTACCATGGTGGTTACTAAAAGCCCGCTCGCCACCGAAATTGCGCTTGACCACCAATCAGGCAAGAGTGTGGCGCATCACGTCAACTCACTCCCGCGCGTGTAATCTCGCCGTGGGTGTATGGGGGCATAAAGCCTATGATGACAGCAGAGGCCAACAGTTGCGTACTGCACAGTAGTAAACCCGATCCTAATTGACATAAACTGTGAGAATAAGCCCTAAGGTGAAGTTCAACAGATACCACTCCCAAGTACCCCATAAATTAGAATTAATAGTATTACAACAAGGCAAGTGAACGAATGAGATTAATCGAGCTTGCTAGCAGAATATTGTCGAATTGTTGCACCTGAAAACCCCTTCTCCTAAGTGAGTATTGCCTTTCTAGTGACTCACTGATACCCATTCATTTTTACTTCAATTGATATTTTAGTGTTGGTGAATTGTTATCTAAACATGTGTAGGTAAAAGTCGCTATACTAGTTGGTTGTCCGAGACCCAACTTCACCTTATTGATGCCTCGGGGTAAACGGCTCCAATTTTTCGGAGAGATAGCGAAGCCAGGGCTGCGAACAGACGGCGATCCTACCAAAGTCAATTACCATACACTTACATCGCCAACTATCTGCCTGATGTCAGCGAAAATCATTGAAAACTTCGATAAGCCCAGTCCTGCCGGTAATGAGTTCCGCAGTGACACTTTTACCACGCCCACAGTGCTGATGGTGCTGGCACTCCAACACGCCACGGTGGGTGATTCCGTGGTTAATGAAGATGAGGCCACCAATGCCCTCGAAGCAAAAGTGGCGAAGCTCGCTGGTAAAGAACGAGGCTTGTTCTGTGTCAGTGGTACTCTTTCCAACCAAATTGCCATCAGAGCCCATTTGCACCAACCGCCATACTCGGTGTTGGGTGACTTCAGATGCCATGTGTTCGTCCACGAGGCCGGGGGCATTCCTACGCTTTCCCAGGCATTGCCCATTTCTGTCCACCCCAAGAACGACTTGTACATGACGTTGGAAGATGACATTCTCCCCAATTACGTGCCTGACGACGAAGACATCCACTGTGCCCCCACGAGACTCATTTGCCTCGAAAATACCCTTCACGGGATGTTGTACCCGATTGAGGAGATCAAGAAGATCAGTGAATGGGCCCATGCTAACGGTATTGCCGTTCACTTGGACGGAGCGCGGTTGTGGGATGCCACGGTGGCGCTGGGCCACCTGATTGAAGACTACGCCAAGTACTTTGATCTGGTATCGCTTTGCCTTTCAAAAGGTCTTGGTGCCCCTATTGGGTCGGTGTTGGTGGGTCCTGAGAAGTATATTAAGAAAGCCAACCACTTTAAGAAGCAGAATGGTGGGGGTATTCGTCAGAGTGGTATCCTTACGGTGATGGCTTCGCAAGCCCTTGACGACAACTGGAGCAAATTGGCCACTGCCCATGCGTTTGCTAAGGAAGTGGGAGAATTTTTGGAGGGTCAGGGTGTGAAATTGCACCACCCCGTGCAGACTAACTTTGTCTTTATCGATATGGCGGAAAACAAGATGGACCCGCTGGTGTTTGAAGCCAAAGCCAAGCAACACAACGTCAAGGTGTGGCCCGGCAGGCTTGCATTCCACTACCAAAACACTCGTGAAGGGGTGGACAACCTTAAACGAGCACTTCAAGATACCATCGATGAGTCGAAGAAGAACCCGTACCAGGGCCCTCGAGCCAAGTTCTACAGCACCGAAAAGACCGATCTCCCCACCAACTAGAATACGCTAGATATCTCATAAATATTCCATGAAAAGTATCATAAAATTTCATTTTAAAATTGATAGATTTCGAGTCATTGTCGTCTCCACATTTCGCACCCGACTGCACTATCTCGCACTACTGGTATCGACATCGCTGGGCGATGGCTACCCTCTATACCACAGAGATCACTGACGACCTCCTATGTTGGCTCAGTGATGACTACAACTTTGAGACTATACTACGGCTCATCAACATCCCTGCTCAGGCATCAATTCGTCGCGTGGGCGACGCTACCTTGAGGGCGATGCGATTGATGAGTCGGTTATTCAACCTCTACGCTGTGGCTCATTTTGAAGGTTTGCAGAGTCAGTGGTGGCAACAAGTGACTATTCACCATGACCCTCACGGTAAGCCTCATGCCGTGGTTGATGGCAAAGTGGTGTTTTTCAATAATCTGAGCAGTAACCGGCACCTAGCGGTGGTGGTGAGTTCAGACCATCAAGTGGGCGTCGACCTTAGCCATGCTCAGCAAAATATCGATCCTGATAGTGTCGTTGATCAATTTGCTCCCATATTCTCCGCTGAAGAACAAAACACCATTACTAGCCTGCCTGACGTCTACTTAGCATTTAACCATTTCTGGACACTAAAGGAGGCTTACACCAAGTACGCAGGGACGGGGCTCCACGCAACCAACCTCGCCGAGCTTGCCTTCACCATAACCACGCCGTTATCCGCTAGCCATCACCTACTTGCTGATGAAAAGTGGCTTGCGGCTACCGGTCCCGAACCAGCGATATCGCTGGTATTGGCACCACCAACTTCTAGTCTGCTTGCAGTGATCGTGCTGGTGGTCGGAGTGACGACGGTTGGCTGGAACCCGGTAAACTTTGCCGCCGTGATCACCGCTGGTGGACGATAATCTCTCATAATATGAGACAACGTCACCTCGGCCCGACGCACGGACGGACGAAGGGCGCAAAACCCGCAAACAACGCCACCTGGCTAACGGGTGGTTGGTAGTACAAACACGCCACAGTTGCTAACTAATAAGGTGGCAAGACAATAGGCCCGTGAAACTGTGGTCACGACCCGCATACTTCACCACCGTCACAAGTCGCGTTTCATGGCCCCGCACCCAGTGATGAAACGTTAGCCACGCCACGCCTAACGACAATTGGTAAACACAAAATTAATCGATTATCTATACACCATTAACTATCAGCAGGCTTAGATCAACAAAGCACCGGCAACGGCACCGACAATGGCGACACCGTACGAGAACGAGGCGAGTTGACCACCCGACTTGTCAGAGCCCGAGCCGTTCTTGCCACCAGCAGCGGCACCCGACGACTTAGCGGCACCCGACGATTCAGCGCCCGAAGACTTAGCGGCACCCGACGACTTGGCAGCACCCGACGAGCCAGATTCAGCG